GATGAAAAACACTTACTCCCTGATACCATCTTTCACTCAAAAATACATCATGGTATGGAGGGAAAATCCGCTGTGATTTCTGATTCATGCTGACTTTAGAGAAGCAGTGAAGTTGCAGATTGCAACCAACTAATTACTTCTCCCCCACCCTTCCATTTCCAAGCATGTAGTAGAACCTGTTTTTGCTTCTTTGACAGTGAGGAATTATTCTCCCTTGCATTTTCTTGTGCTAAATAATAAGTATGATCCTCCATTTGTCTAAATTTGGGTTCTCAAACTTCTCACAACAAAAAGGGGTTAAGAAGCACCGGCAACAGCCACTGATTCTTCTTCTTTCTACGTCTTCCAGCCGGTGCTGTAGCAGCACCAAATTCAAGCTGCCGTTTCAACATAAAAACGCAAAAGGCACTCTCTAGAGCCAGTGTTTGGTTTGTCCATTCTGGGCTACTGTAGAAACGTGGCAATGCAATGTGGCGGCCTCTGTTGGAAGAGGACCTGCTCCCTATGTAGACATGAAGGGCTTATTCTAATCTAGCAAAAACACAATAATTCATAGTTACAGGTGATTACATACTATGAAAATCTTGTTTTGTATACTACATTCCATTTCTGCTCATATATCCCCCTAAATCTTACACACCCTAAAGAATGTTGCCTCTTTACTGGTGTAGTTGGCTAAAATAACAACTAGAAAAACAGCTCAGGCTTTTGTGTGTCACTAAACCCGAAGAGGTGAATTACAAACACATTTTATCTATGGTTTACAGTGTTGACAAGCTGAGGTAAGAAGTTTATGGTTAGCAGTGCTAAAAAGCTGAGGTAATTTAAATTCATGCTAACTAGCTTGCTACCTACCTATAGGTAGGTAGCAAGCTAGTTATTTGCTATTATTGTAGTGATAGCAAATAAGTTCAGCTCAACTTGTCAACAGTGTTACTGGTAGGCAATCAGGCTGCAACTGATTGATATGGAATATAAATTTGATTAACATTGGGTTATATAACATTATACATAAACATTCATGAGTTAAAGTAGCTAGTAGCTAGTTGCTTTCATTAACTGTTCGCATGTGACTAGCACTGGCCCAGGAAGGGAAGATAACTTGTGCAAGTGTAGCTAAGTGCAAAAGATAAAGCTCACAAAAAAATTAAACTCACAACAACCAAATATGAATAATCTTGCTGAAAACTACAAGTCCGTTTTCTAATGCTAACAGTGTTGACAAGCTGAGGTAAACACAAATAAATACAGTACAGCTGTCCAGAGAGAGCGTTTTCCCTCATCTGATACTCTGAATTCAGCTGACGAAGACATTGCTAATTACATGATGAGGTATGTGGAGGCAGAACTGATCTTTAGGCTGCAGTTACTACCTCCCCAAGTACAGCTAAATAGGGGGTTAGACCATAAGATGATGATAAACCTTCGGACATGTGCTAATTCATTCTCTTAATGTGTCATGGTTAGGTTCAGTTTTGATGAACAGTATCTCCAGAACAAGACAGAGAGAAATTTGAGTTTTAGAGGAACTATACTTCTTTATTTTTGAGCACTACCCTGACTCGGTGCCACTGCTGGTCCACCATTGAACTGTCCAGATTATTTTCCTGTATACAAGGTCTAACAGTTTTTATTCTCTTCAAACAGATTTAAAATGCACAAAGCCTTTTATTTTGGAAAACAAACTAAATATTACCAAGGAAAGAAATGAATGACTAGGCCTAAAATAAAATTATTTTGTTGAAACTGGTGTTGCTGACACTGTGCTAAATTAAAATTATCTACTAAACTGATGTGCAATGGACAATGAAAGAAAGAAATTATGAAAAAATAAGCAACATAACAGTAACATAACAGTAAAAGCGATGAAAAGTGATATTTGTTCTAACACTCTGCTTAACCACCAGTGGGTTGCCCAGAAAATGCTGAGCAAAAAGCTAGTGGGCCGCCAGCTTTGCCGTCAGTCGGCCAACAGTGGGCCACTATCATCTGGTTATCTGCAGTATGTCACACCCTCACACACCGACACTGATCAGAGCAGCCCCTCAATGACCTTCTACTCTAATGTACAGTTTAACAGCTCCATGACCAGACTGGTGAGTGATTGACTGACCACTGGTCTGACATTTATGTCTTTATTGTTTTGGCTAAGAACACAAAGAAGATAAATCTCACTTTATCTCTTTCTGTCTTTCTGTTCCTTTATCAATCTCATTATTGGGTCAGGAGAAACTCCAGGGAGATTAGCAACTGGAGCAGCCCAATTTTTCCGTTCTCAGCTTTTCTATTCTCTCTCCGTCTCTCTGGTTTTCGTTGTCTATTTGCTGAACACCATTCCCTCCAGGATCACATTTCTTAATCTGAACCCTCATCTCTGTTTCACTCTCTTTAATCCCTCTATTAGTGGAAGCTGAATTAATTTAAAGGGCAAAGCATAAAAGGACCTGACTAACCTAATGATTCTTACAGATGCAGCAGGTTCCATGTGATAGTTTGGCCAAAAATACACTGTTTTCCCCATTACTCCAACTGCAGTCAACTAGCCAAGACATGTTTGGTGTCTAAAGCTTACTTCTTTAGTTTTGTGCTGGAGCTACAAGGCTAAAATAACTAACAAATAAAGGAAGCAAGTGATTAGCAATAAGCATTGTGCAAACTGTGTGGCCCAAACCACACAGAGCTGTAATCTCAAATAGACTTGCTTATGTGTTTTTTTGACACTGTACTGACATACTGTTATCTAAAAAATGAAGAAATGCATCAAGTTGACTCTTTTTATTTTTCCTAAAGCCGCTCCTCCCTTCCGTAGCCCTTTTTGGTCAAATGCATACTCACTGCATGAGCTCAGACTAAGCAAATAAAGATCTGTTGCATTAGCCATTTGTGCCAACTTTTCTGCTAAAGGCTTTAAAAGGACTTGTGTGTGGCTTTTACTAATTCTACCACCATGCTTCGAGTCCTCCAACCCAACCCTTATCTGCTGCACTGGTAAAATGCCATTGGCATTTATTTTGACTCATTTCCCTGTAAGTAGCCTTGATCTTCAGGCCCCCTAGTGCCCATTCTGGTCATTGACTTGTATATTTTTAACTAATATAATCAAATAAAATATGTTTTCTCTGATTCAAAAAGATGCTGTTGGCTCTGAGTGTAATGCTGTGACTCTATTTTGAGTTTCTACTGAGCAATGAGGGGTTGAAGGGGAGGACCCCCAAACAATTGACACCACTCCACAAAGATGGCCTTTACCTTTGTTACAGGTCCCTTTTCAGGAGACTCACTTTCAGTTTTTCAAACAAAGCTGCAGGCATAGAGTTCCACACCTCCAAAGTTCAGTCTTAGAAGTTGGTTGCATTTTCTTCTTTTCCTTTCTTCTTGCTTCTTGACAGCTACACATCCATTCAGACCCATAGCACTGAGTTGTCTTCTCACAGTGGAAGGATGGATAGAAACAACTGTGGACTTTTTCAGATCTGAAGCAGGAATGGAGCTTGATTTTCTCCTTTCTCTCAAAGATGGAAGCTACGGTTTATCTGACGGTGATAGTTTTGTTGGTCTACCAGGTCTTGTATGGTTGTTTGGAATCTCATTTTCTCTGTATCTTTTAGTCATTTTTTCCACCTATTTTTTAATGACTTTTCTCCCTTGATTATGCAAGTGGATTATCATATGTATAATATCTTTAGAAATCATGAATAATGAATAACATGCACTTATTGGTTGGGAATTAAATCAATAAAGGATGGCCTCTAATAGAAAAATCTAAAATATGTAAGTGTAGGGAAATGCATTGAAATGGAAGCAAATGGGGAGGGATTAGGCTGTAAAACTGCACAGTATGCGTATGAATGAGTGTGACAGCTGATCCCAGATCAGCCCAAAAGCCAAAACACAACCAGAGCCCAAAGCCTCATGCAAAGCCCTTACAATGGGGATCTCAGCACCATTAATATTTCAAAGGATGAAAAGAAATAGGCCGAAATGTTTTGTGCCTTTTTTTCTCATTCGCATCAATTATTCACGCTTTTGTACCGCTTTACCCAACTCTGGCCAGGCCCATGGCTGAAGCGCTTTGATAAAGCTCATTATGTTAACCCAGTTATATCGCCTTACTCGACTGCAGTTTGAGCTCCAGCACAAAAAGATGTTGGAGATAACACTCTTCTCTTACATTAGATTAAAAGTAGCCAGTCTGCTAAGACTTCAGGCTTGCTGTGTTCAATTAAAGAGAGGTTAGCAGGTTATATGTCCATTACTGACCTCGGAGCTCTATCAATTATTTAGGGTCTGTTTTCCACATTGGCCTTAGTGAGATAAAAATCAGAATTGAGCGATAAACCCCAGGACACGTTAATGTGACATTGGCTTGATTCACATTCAATTATTGATCAACAGTAAAAAGACTTTGGTGGTTACCATAACAGTGTCTATATGTAATCCTGTTTTTTCAGGAATGTATACACTGCCCCATAGTGGCTGCTCATGACCAGTAACAGCCACCCAAAAAAGTACTGTGTTGGCAGCATGAGATCTATTGAGACTTTTCTTGGTATTTCTAGATGAAATATAACAAGGTGAAATATAACAAGCAAGTAAGACTTTTATTTTCTCTTTATTTATTTGAACAATAATATCCTAAGTATAATTCCACATAGCTGGTTCACCTTAATATGTAACGTACAAAAAAATGTCATTGTTGAACCAGATTTGTAAAACAAACAATATATAAATTAAACTGGCATAACTTTTTTTTCTTTCTCTATATCAGTGCAAACAAAACAAAAGGTCGTGTACGTTTTTGAATTATGTACATTTACATTTACATTGTTCAAGATTCCTCTTGTATAGGCAAAGTGTATATATATATATATATATATATATATATATATATACGAGACAATGCATTAACAATATAGGACTCTAACCTTACATGTAAAAGGATTAGAGACTGTGCTTCAGTAGGTCTATTAAAAAAGGCAGAACAAGTTCAGTATTGGCACTTTTTTTTTTTGCATTGTGTAAAAGCCTCTGAAACAATGAAACCTCAACTGCACATTCAGAGACGGAAGAGAAAATGAAGAGAAGTTTCCAGAACAGCCTTTTTAAAGAACATCCCATTCTTTAAAGTCTACAGTGAAAAAGGCTCAGTTGATGTAGACTCTACCACAGCCACTGACAGGCAGTTTACAGTGTTCCCTTTTTGTTCCCAGTGTTTATGAATATATACAGCAGAGTTCACCTCAATACATTCACTATCATATCATAATGAGCTCCTGTTTCTGACGAGGGCGTGCAAGCTAGAATGCTTAAGAAAAGGTTTCTATCAGTTTTTACCAGCTCCAGTCCAGAAGAACGTCAAAAAAGAAAAGTAAAAAAATTATAACAATGGTAATAAAAATAAAACTAGAAAGGGGAAGTTTCCTTAACAAAGCCAGCTAATAATGCTTCAGAGGTTAAAGCAGCTGCAGAACACTGTCAATTTTTTTATAACTTAATTAGGTTTTATAGTAGTTCCAAGTAGTTGCTATGGTGTGGTTGCTATGGCTACGGTATTCCAACTAGTTAGGGCATTACTTGGTAGTTGTTAGGTGGTTGCTATGGTATTCCAGGTGGTTGCTAAGGTGTTGCTAGGCCATCGATATGCTATCCCAGTTGGTTGCTAAGGTGCTGCTAGGCCATCCCTGTGCTATCCCAGGTGGTTGCTAAGGTGTTGCTATGCCGTTGCTGTGGTAGCCAAAGTGGTGGATAAAGTGTCGTTAGGCCCTTGCTTTGCCATCACAGGTGGTTTCTAAGGTGTGAGCCAACTCAATACAATATTCAAGTACAAGTAGAAGTTCTAGTTATATTTCTACACATATATAGTACATATAAAAAGTACATTATATGTTTTATGTCATTTTATTATTTTATGTTATATTATTATTGGCTTAAAGGCTACAGCTAGCTTCTATAACAGTGTAACAATTAAAACAAATCAACCAAATAAGATACGCAGATGCTATAATTGGTTTGCTTTAAATTGAAAGTACATGGTTTGCTTCAGTTTGAACTTTTACCATGTGAAAATCCCCAAAAAAAGGGTGCAGTAATAAAGTAGTAAAGTAATTAAGTACATTAAGAAAGGTTCAGCTGAGAAAAAGTATGCCGTGCTGGCTGCAGGACTGTGAAACACTGACCTATATAAAGGCAAGAAGCATTTTCTTATAAATATAACCATATGTTTTAAGTTTTCCATGTATTTGACTTTTTCAGATTGTATTTGATAGCAATGCACAGCCTATAAGTAACAATGCTGCAGTCCATGTAGTTACATTCTAAAGTTAAAGGGGAATTCCACTGATTTTACAAAATTTCTGCATAATTTAACCATTAAGATGAAAACAAAGTCATTCAGAGTGGTTTGATGCGAAATGCGCAGGTCTAGAAAAACATCCTGAGTTCACAGTGGTGGCGATAGGAACCAGACGTCAGAGGTGTTTAATCTTCTAAATCTACCTCATCTAAAGTTATTACACAATATGGTTATGTTTTTAAAGCCATTCATGGCAGAGAGGTACATGCAGGGTGTTGTAAGGCAAAATAGTACCCAAATACTTCACTACTGTTTTACCATTATTAACATTACATAGAAAACTCATAGACATTGTGACCCCTGATTCCTATCACCACCACTGTGAAGAAATCAAAGTGTGTACATTTCTCTACAAAGGGCACATTTGAAACCTAGTCTTGCCTAAATTATAGCATGGGTTTAGTTTCTCCATTTAAACCATATGTAGCCTTTTACAACTAGGCCAATCTTTGTCCAGAAGGTGTAACTAATATAAGGAAGGGTCTTGAATTTGTAGTATGTTAAAATTGTAAGCTGAAATACTAATCGCATGGCATAAACCTGTTTCCAGACTTTGTAAAGGAAAAGTCAGATGCAAATTTTCAAATATAATAAATTAAATGCAGATGCTATTAGAAAAGAAAAATGGGCTATGTAACAACCGGCCCCTGTTTGGTGGATAAGAGTATACAAATGCTAAGTGGTGAAAAGACCTGTGCAAATTTATATATTGAATGCACTTCAAATTCTTGACTGAAATCAAGCCTCAAAATGCTTGTAAATACATCTGCTGACAAAGAAAATATGACAGAAAAGACTCAACATCAGTGTCAGCATCAATAAGTGCAGTTCAGATTGGCCTACAAAGAGAAAAGTGAAGTAAAATAGAAATCATGATGCTGGGTAGAAGATTATGGCACAGTTACAGCAACCTCTTAACATGCCACTGCATATCAAATTATATTACACCCAGAATTACTCTGATATCTCATGATGAAATGTACAGCTAACTTCACTTACAATATACAGTCTTGTATCAAAGGTACACATGTTAAAAATGTAAATATATATCACACAATATGTTTATCAAAATTCTGACAGCTGATATTCGACCTGATATCTTGGACAGTTTAATTTTAGGTGGCTTTTCGTGGTTTGAATTCAACATGTAAAATGTATTAATTGAAAACTAAAATGTTTTATGTGACAACACATTGTTTTAATACATTTTGTATTAAAGGGCCCATATCATCGAAAACTGATTTTTTTTTTTTAAATAAAACACTTTGATGTGTAAACATTCACCCCCTACTCCCTACAATCCATATATGGAAATAGATTTCTGTTTTGAATACATTGTTTTTTTGATGTCACAAAAAACTAATTTACATGTACCTGCCTTCTCAGCCTACAGCAGTTTAGCCCATTCATGCTAAAGTTATAAGGAGTATTTCAGTCTAGACTGCTTTTTGAATGAGGCACAATACAGGGCAGCCAATCAGAACAGAGCTCATTTACATATCTCAGTCTTAAAGGCACAGTAACAAAAACAGCTGGTTTCATTATAAGTGAGAAATTGAGGTCATGTAAAAATTAATTTTGACCGTTTCTGGTATATCAACCCACACATATGTTATAAGCAGGTCAGGGAACATAAATGAGGACACAAAACAGAACACAAAAGGAAAAAAAGTAGAGTATGGGCCCTTTAAAACATAAGGCTTGATGTTTGGCTTTTGTAATGTAAATCAAATAAAGTGATGATAAAATTGAACAATATGTCAATTCTGATATGTGAACTGCGTTCTGGCCAAACGCAACATATCTCTAGGTGACTAGAACATGTTTGTGTTCAAAATCTGAACACTGCCTGTGTTAAATAAGGTAGCACACTTCTTAGTGTTACAAGTAACACAAAATAAATTGTCCTCAACTGAACACACATATGTATTACATGTATTAACACATAAGAAATAAAGTGTTTTTCTACCACCTTAACAATCTGAAAGTGCTGCTTTCAGATAGTGTTCCGCTGAAACAGTATTACAGCTATCTTGGCCCTTAAAGGGGAATTTCACCAATTTTTCAACATTTCTGCATGATTTAATTGCTAAGATGTAAACAATGTCATTGAGAATGGTTTGATATGAAATGCTCCATTCTAGAGAAACCTTATGAGTCAGAATTCCTTACAGTGGTGGTGATAGGAACCAGACATCTGTAGAGTTTATTGGCTCTTAAAGGTACATCACATGATGTCATTACACAAAACGAGTATGAATATGTTCCCTCATGTCTTAAGCTACATGTGTCAAGCTCTAGTCCTTGCGGGCCAAAACATTGCAGACTTCAGCACGCTGCCTCGTTAAACACACCTGATTCAGCTCATCAGCTAAATAGCAAGGCCTTCATGAACTGAAATCAGAGTGGTAGATGAGGGTAAACGCTAATCTCTGCAGTACTTTGGCCCGGAAGGTCCCCAGTTTGACATGCCTGCCTTAAGCGTTGTTTTACAATAGTTTTGAGATAAGGTTTTGGCCTAAAATGTATTTTTAAGGCCTATTCATGGACATATAGGCCATCACATTTTTCCATGATCAAAAACACTTATAAAAAACTCAAAAGAAGATGTGTAGGTTTAGTGGAAGTAGTTACTGGTTCCTATCACCACCACTGTAAAGAAGTCTGAGTCTCTAAGTTTCTCTAATCAACCATTTCAGATTAACCATTCTGAATGACTTTGTTTACATTTCCCTGATTAAATTATGCAGAAATTGTGAAAAATCAGTGCACTGTAACAAAGCCTTTGCACTTTAAAGCAAGTGAAAACATATTAAGGGTAGGCAGTATATCAAATGTGTATCATTATGTGATTCTTGTGAGAATATTATAAAACCTTTACCATATTTCAAGACAGTTGTACTTAGTTTGAATCATTTTAGCAAAGCTAAAGTTGTCTTGCTGCACTGGTAGATCACAAGAGGATATGATCACTTTGATCACTTAATACAAATACAATGTCTAGAAATGGTCTGAATGTTTTATACATGTTATTGCCTACATTTAAGATGCTTTCACTTGCCAAGATATCCTTTTTGTGTGTGCATTTTATGTGGAAATCTTACTCCTGCAACAGTCTGATACTTCAGCAACAGCTCGTGAATGCCGTCCTGCACGGTCATATTTACATTTGGCATGTTTCACTTTTTCTGTACAGAACTCAAGCTAACCAAACAAGGCTTGTGATTCCTTTAGGAATGCAGTGACATCAGAAACTGGAGCACAGCCGAAGTGACTTCGATGTTTCCTCCGCAGAGTCTCATACACAGACGGAGGACTCCATTAAAAGGTCTGTGGTCGAAAACTTAAACGGGAATCCACAGTATAATGGCATGAGATCCTTCAGTCAGGGCCGATGGTATGATACAGATCCACTCTTGCTACAATGAACCTTCTGGATTTCAGCTGGGCAGATTGGAAAGACCATGGCTAGAGTCATGTTATCACCTGCTTGAATGAATACTATAATACTGTAGCTTCCTCCATTGCATTCACCCATCTATAAAACAAGGAAATAAGAGCAGAAAGGGACCTCAATTAACTTCTATTATCATATTTAATTACAATTAAATTTAAACTTTTGTAGATGCATAACTATAATAATGTCTGAGCACGTCTATGCATATGTGGATGTATGTATAAGGTGTAAATATAACATCACTACAGTTCATAACATTTTTATGATACACAATACAATACTAATCACCATTTGTACTTTTTGTGAGGTTTATTAAGCTGGAACAGACAAAGAAAACTCAGTAGTGCCACAAATAAAATGTAAAAAAAAAAGTTAAATACAGTGGTTTTTATTTACCCTTTCATACTGGGCTACATTATATCAAATTAACTAGGCCTAACTATGCTGTGTTTGTAATAAAATATCCAGTTGATCAGTGTTCTTTAAAGACTGACAATATCCAGAATGTGCTCAGAGAAGCATAATGTGATGAATGTAATTTGTTACGATAACAATCCACTAGGTGGCACTATGAGCAGCCCCTTGCTTTTTTTCCACGAATTGAAAATCATAGTGCATTTTACTTCAGTACTGTGGAATATTTTTGAGTAAAACAGAGTATCAAGGAGGGTATCTGAGATAATATTGGTTAATATTATTTTTCCCATTACCTAAAATCAGAACACATTATACAGGCTACCAAAATGAACTTACAAGCATACAGCATACTTACTATAAAAACAACAGACTAAGCATCTCAGTTGTTTTGCCTTTGTTTTGTTTTTCTTATAAAAGCAGAATTTACTGCATTTAGCGCTTCAGTTCTGTTCTTCAGACTGAAGGGTCTTTTAGAATGAAAAGTCTTCCTGGTTATCAAAATTTGTCTGGCCTGCTTGTGAGCCACATCCTAGGGTTTGTTCTGACCCAGTACATGGCTGGATCCTTGGCCTAGATCTGGTCCACACACTGTAAAGTGAGTAGAACTAATGGATGTGGCTGAAATCTGGCCCAACTACATTGTTGGTCCATAACAATTGCGCCCACAAATATAGACACAAGGCAAAAGCTGTTCAGCATCTGGTCCTATTCTGGCTCACATGCCTAACATTTGCCCAGTAGTCAACCAGCAATCACATAGGAAAGCAGAGTTGGCCGAATACTAGAAGCTATCTGCTGTTATTTGAGGCTGTTTTAAATAGGAATTTTCTTTAGTACAATGCAATGCTTGCAGCTGATAACAACACTCAATCTGTACTAAAGACTCGAGACTTGACTCAAATTCACACGCTAGAGACTTGAGACTCTCATTAACAAAACTGTGAACATCCTTGGACCAGGGACATTTTTTAACAAGGTAAAAAAGATCAATTTCAGGTTAACTTTAACTACGGCAAATTACAACTAGTTGGAAACTACCCTGAATTTATGGATATAATAAAGAGAGAGTGACCTGCGTGCGGTGTGCTGATCGTCCGCTCTGAATGTGTAGTAGAGGGTTTTCTTATGGTAGAGCTGGAAGATGCTGTCCGTGTCCTCACCCTCAGAATGCTCAGACAGCTTTACTGTAAAACCCTGCAGAGGAAGAGACTCACTCGCCACTTTATCCTACACGAAGAGAGAGAAAGAACGTGATAAAAAAATAAAAAGTGATAGAGTGATCCACGTACATAATAAAATATTATACAAATGCAGCGACAACAAATATAAATACCTCAACATTAACATTGATCAATGGTCAAATCAACCCAGTTGTCCTCCAACTCTACTTTTTTAATGTAGTTACACAATTACAAAATTATACTTAATTACATAATGAATTTCATTTACATTCGATTTATGTTCTGTACAAGCACATCCAACTTTTTTCCACTTGTTCGATGTCAAAAAATGGCAAAACAGGGCTACATTTATGAATGACATTTCATATTTAGTTCAGTGGCGAACAAGACCTCCATAAAAGGTGAACAGTGTGATTGTTTTGAGTGGCTTGGTAATGAAACAGAAGTACACGTGGACATTGTGTGCTTGTGTGTGGGTGGGTGTTGGTGTAGGAGACTCTGGGCCCCCTCACCTCTCGGGCTGTAAAGGTGTAGAGCACCTTGTCTTTGAGCAGGAACCACAGCCTTTTCCACTTCCGTTTACTCTTCTTCCGCCTCTGCAGACTCCCACTCATAGTGGAGCCTTCAGCGCCCACGGACACCTACACACAATTACGCCACAGAGAGGACAAGCATAATGTAGTATGTGGAAAGTGTAAGACCCTGGACCCGAAGACTTTGGGCCAGTTTCAGGCATATTCTGCCCATATGTTATGTACAAAACTGGGACGCTAGCAGTTTATGGGCCGTGTGGATGGGAAAATACAAAATGCAAGCGTAAATGCAGAAGAATGACAGCCATGTAGGACGTTTTGTTGGGCCAATTAACATATGCAAAAAATGGTCGTATATACATACATGAACATAACTCATAAGGTTTGGTCACATTATCACAGCAAAATGGTTTTGTGCATCTCATCCATTTATTTTTACCGTAGTTGTTTTCACCGACCTGCACAGAGCTATGTAGAGCCACTAGAGCCAGTTTAAGGCTGCAAAATTTGCTAGTGAAGTGACAACATGGCTTGATAAACAAAGGAAAGTCATTGCGAATTAACCTACAGACAAAATTCAGTTCTGAGGAGGAATAAAATAAACCCAAAGCTCAAAAAGAAAGGTCCACCAGAGTGGACACTATTCTGGGAGTATGTCATTTTGTAGCAATGTCTGAAAACAGACTGGAGAATATCTAGTGCAATCTTACATTCCCACAATGCATTGCAACAGGTAGACCACCAATAATGTAGCCTAGTAGGCAGGGAATGGTGCACTCTATTAATGTGACAGATGAGACAATGTGGCTCTCGCAGAGTGATGAGCAAGCGTTCTATATGCTAGTCCTGATTTTCCAATGTAGGGAACAGTGATAAGAGAAGCATTTCCGACACATCAGCAGAGGTGATGAGGTACCTGAGCGAGAGGTGAAGTGCTCTTCCTGCTTTTCCACAGGCTGGGGGTCTGCAGGCTCTGGAACACAGCGGACAAAGGCCGACTAGCTCTGTTTGTGTGTGGACTCGCACTGCCACACGCCATGGGGACATTCCCACCTACATGAACAAGACAGATCTATTATGCAATAGATCGATTTCATTTTAATTGTGTGTATAAACTAACTGCTGCCAGCAAATAATTCTCAGGGAGCACAGCAGCAGTTCATAGTCATAATTCAGCCAAGTTAAAAATATACTGTTTCATTTCTGCAGGCCAATCAGAACTAAGATAACATTACATTAAATGTTAAAACAGACTAACAGTCAGTGTTTGTAAATTATCACTGTTAGCAACCAACACGGTCAGCTTCCAGTTAATTTTTGTCTGAATTTGATGAAAAACATGTTGATTTCTATGGACTGTTGTAACTGCTACCAGAATTTAGCTATGGTGTACAAATTATCGGGGTCCAAGCGCCACATGCCAGTAGAACATTCATAATGGGAAAAGTTTTTAGAGTGGCCTCTATTTTACAATAAATGCGGGGTCTCAGTCATGTACACAATGACCGCAATAGATTTTTAACAAATCAATACAAATACCAAGAAAACAGTACTATAGTAAGACATGACCTGTACAGTTGTGGAACTCAATAAACTAAATAGTCCCACTGATATTACCTCTGTATTTCAGTCTCAGAGTGCACCAGAATGCCACGTTAAAATTACAAAAAAGGAATGATGCCACAGGACCCTGCTACTGCTACATTTTTCAATAAATTGAAAAAGAAAAAAAAAAACACCAAACAAATAAACAAAACAGTCAAAAAAAATGTCTTTCTTTTTTTGTATCAGCACTGGCTTTTGTTTCTGGCTGTGTCTTAGCTCGCTGCTGTCGGAACAGAACCTTGTATCTCCATTTTTATTTAAGTTTTTAACATAATTTGAAAATGCCTGTTGCGCTTTACATTGTGAGCGAATTTTATGATGAATGGATAAAGTATGTTTTTTCCTTCTCCTGTAAAGTTGCCATTTTGGAGATACAAGGCTTTGTTCCTGTATCTCCAAAATGTTCTTGTAGAGCACTTGCCTCGTTTCTTCAGCTCAGTGTAGCAACGGTCACACACTTTAGCCACTCTGTCCTTCAGATACTTCAGTGGGTACCGGTTTCTGGAGCAGGCGCGGCACACCACCTGCAGGCAGGAGAGAGAAGTGCAGCTGAGAAATCTGCTTACTTAGCAACTTGTAGCCTACATGACTCATCAGGCAAATTAAAGCAATCATGAAACAGCTGCTAAACAGATGTATCTTTATTATATAATCTTTGCTTTAGCATACATTTTGTAGGCCCTCTCAAGAACAGTGACATGAATATTTTTTCTCAAATGTTTTTTTGTGATTTACCTTATGTGTTTTCTGTCATTGTATGACATACGGATTTATAATGAAATGGACAAATGTACAGACCAAATTTAGGCTTTATGGCTGCTACTATTGTCTATTTGACCAGACATGTCTATTTAACCAAAAGAAAACAAAACATATCTTGGTTTATTGACTGTTTAGGCTGCTGGTGTACATTAGACTTTTCAAAGAAATCATGTTAAGATTTCATATACAGTGCTGTGCAAAAGTCATAGGTTCCTTAGCATATTGTTTAAAACCATTTATCTTCGCCATAAGTGTGTTTTTACTTGCATTTATCATATAAATACAGTACAAATTTTCTGCTGTATTTTGAAAAAAAAAACCAAAACATTATGCTATCTTGTGAGCTAGTCTGAAGAACAAAATTTAATTCTAGATTTTTCCTTGATGCCTCAACTGTTATTTATTATCATTTATTTATTACCACCACCAACACCACACTTAATTTAACATAAGTGCTCCTTATGAGGATGCTGAAGACTGTGAGCAGGCCAGGTGGTTTGTGTACCTTTCCGCAGGCGTTACAGTGGTGTCTGCGCAGCGTCAGGCTGAAGTCTGAGGCACAGTTCATGCACATCATGGCGTGGGAGATGGGCACCAGCACTGGAGCCGCTTCCCCCAGAGACATCCACAGCTTCTCCCTCGCCTGAGAACACCATGGGAGTTAGACTGGACCAGTAAAACTTGTGAACAGTGTCTATAGACTCCTGTTATAGGCCAACTAGGCATGTGCTACTATTCAAAAGTTTGGAATCATGCCATTTTTTATATTATATTAGATTTATATTATATTTTGATTGATTGATTCTGTATTGACACAAAACATGTTGGCAGTACACACAACTGCTGCCTCAAGATATAATACAACTCTGTGATAGCATATCGCAGAATGGATATACAATACATATAATACAATAATGTCTTACAACTTCATATTTTTGTCCCAAGAAAAAACATCTTTTGGATTACTAATGTGTGAGTCACTAATGTGAGTTCCCAAAAATGTACACTCTTAAAAAAGCTGTTTTTTCAAGGGTTCTTTAGAAAAAAAAATTCTATATAGAACCATGAACTTCTTCAAATTAATGGAACCCTTTTCGAAAAGGGTTCTATATAGCACCAAAAGGGTTCTGCTATAGTTATGATGTCGAACTTGTAACAATAGAAGAACCCTTTTTGGTGCTATAAAGAACCAATATAGAACCATCTACAGCACATCCTCCATCAATCTGAAGAACTCTTTCATGATGCAAAGAACCCTTTAATTATACAAAGGGTTCTTTGATTGTTCATGGTTCTATATAGAACCAATTTCTTTACTAAAGAACCGTTGAAGAATCTTTTTAAGCTTTTTACTTATTGTCCCAAAACCTGCATTGAAACTTTTAAAACCCGTTTCTTCCTGCTTATTTTATAAACAATAGTAACTACTAATTTTAATTTAAATATTATAAATGAAACAACATAAATAAATGCTTAGATGATGTATCCAATATTTTAAGCCTTTTGGCAATAATGATAGATAATACATCTTCATTTCTATTTACAATACAATCTGTCAAAGTGTCTGCCTCAAGATTTGGTCACACTTTTGAAATGCGAGGGTATTGATTTTAATATAGCTTCATTTTTAGTGTTATACACCTTTTTAAATTGTCATAGAAGCGTCTCCTGTTAACGAATGATTTGAAACCTGTGAAGTTGTACTAGCATCATATTAGAATCATTTTAAACATGTATCTACAACAAGGTAACTTTAATATTATTGGAAACAGTGATTCCAAACTTTTGAACTAAAGCATATGTCATTTGTCATGTTTTTGATGGGCTACCTGAAAACTAACACACAAACACCCACCCACAGACAAATCCATATCTAAGCATACTGTACGTCAAAGTAGGTAAGGATTATAATTACCTCACTGGAGGAGCTGAATGTGTTGAGGCCAGCTGCGTGGTCAGCTATAGCTCTGCTCAGAGTGTGGAACCAGTCCTCTCTCTCTGCCAGAGAACTAGAGAGAGAGAAAGAGAGAGGGAGATAGAGAGAGAGAGAGAGAGATAGATAGAGAGAGAGAGAGAGAGAGATGAGTTATTCTTTACAACCCATTTAGTGCCACAGCAAAGACCATTCAATCAAAAAGATCCAAAAATACAGTACCATAGTCTGTAGGTAGTATTGTAATGTGCAGTAATGTAAATTATTTAAAACCATTTATCTTGGCATTAAGGGTGCCTTTGACAGTACATTACATTAAATACAGTAACATTACAATAAATGCAAAATAAACATGAATAGAGTAAAACGTAACAAGAATTTTTTTGTTTTTGTTTTTAAAGTTATTAAAAGAAGAGAAGAAGAAGAAGGTTTGGTTCCTGACTTCTCATCGCACTCAAGCCATTGCATCAATTCGTTAAATTCCAACACCAGCTTACCTGATATAATTATATCAAGGATTAATTACATATACTTGGTGTTGGATGGTCAGTGTGAATACTGGGCTTCCTCTACAGGAGTATTGGAAATGGATAGGCCAACACACTCAGAGATAAAAGCACAATGTATTTATTTATTATTATTATTTTTTGTATTTATTATTATGGGTTTTATTTTTTGTATTTATTATTATGTTTTTTTTTTTTTCAAATCAGTAAACACCTGCTACCCAGATAAACAGCTTTAGATGACATTTTCTCTAAAGAACTGTTTATGAAAAGAATCAAACTCAGTTTAACGGCAACAATAAACTACCTCAGGTATCCTGAATGACCTCTTAACAGCCATCAGCGGCTGTTTTTTGAAGAATGTTGTCAACGAAACACTCTATCTCTAATATAGTAACTTCAAAGGAGAAAAAAGCTTTTAATTTTAATTTTTTAAAGGGGCCAATTCGTACATTTTCCTCGCATTGAAAACCCAAACCCCCACTGCCCCCACTGAGGTCCACTTACACAATTTGTGAGGTTTTATGTACCAAAAAAAGTCATAATTCATTTATACATGACCATTTTCAGCTATACGTAGAATTAAACAAGCCGGTTTTGTTCCTGTGTCTTTAAGATTAAAATATGTAAATGATCTCTGTTCTGATTGGCTGCCCTGTACTGTGACTGATTCAAAAAGCAGGGCTGCAACACTCCTTATAACTTCATTAATTTGTGAATGGGCGGGGCTAAACTGCTGTAGGATGAATAAGCGAATGAATGTGTATTTGTGTTGGTTTTGGTGACATCACAAAAACAATGAAGCTTAGTTTCTATATATGGACTGTATGGACGGTAAAGTAAACAATACGTTATGAACTTTTATAGTGTTTACATTCATCAAACTCGTTTATTAGAAGAAATGTGAGCTTTCCATTATAAGGGCCCTTTAATTTAATCTTTTACTTGGAATTTTGGATCGTTTCTATTGGTCCATTGGTCCTGAAACATTCACACAATGCCAATGGCAGCTGGGGATTTAAGTGCCATAAAAGTGACAACATGTTTGATCACTCAAACGCAAACTCAAGCTGAAGATGACTCCTCACCTGGCTGAGAGGGTGATGGTCACATCATTGACCTCTATCCTGAGTGTGTTGAGCACATTGTCTACGACCGGTTTACTGACCTGTAGATAACACAAAAACATAGAATTAGTTCTCTGTTAAATGTATTATATGTAGAGACATATAAAATGGCCATATGTAGATAACAGCACAGAGACCTGAAGGTAAATAATTGAGTTTTACCTTCATGCCACTGAGAGGGAGTGTATTCTTCAGCCTGTACTTCCCGTCCTGCTGAGGGTAGGTGTACAGCATCACATCGTTCATCTGCAACACACACACATAGGTGTAAAAAGCGTAAACAGTACACAACTCCAAGATACATCACTGTTCAGTAGTTTGGGATCAGTAATATCAGTACTTACAATAATATAAAACTAATTTGGATGCAGATAAATGTGTAAAACAAATCTAATATGTTAGTCCTGTGCAGCTTTAGAGGTTTCAAGTAATTAGCTGGAAGCTAGAAAGCTGTAAATATGATGAATATAAGAATGATGAATGACTGAAAAAGCTGTACAATGCAGATGAAAAATGAAAATAAAATATCATCATAATAAAAATGTCATCAGAATGACTTGGATTGTAAATAGTATATTATTTATCATTTACAACTTGTTGTTCCACAAATGAAACTTCTGAAAAAAAAAACCCCTTAAATTACACTGAGTAGGTTATCACAGTATATGTGCAAATGTTCAAACAGGAATAACATCACAATAATCATAGTTGCTATTTTATATTCAATAATAACTTATTAAATAAACAGTGTTGATGGAAATACTGTAAGCTAGGTACCAAAAGGTATTTCAAGATGTTTCACTTTCTATGAACATGACAGCTTCTGTCAGTTTCAGTGTTCACCACAAGAGGGCAGTATAAGCTTTAAATCACTCTCAGAGCAGTTGCTTTATTCAACATCATTTCAACGCACATTCTGTAACATATCTAAGTGTTTGGGTTTTGATCCTTTAGAGAGCAGTTCACACGCTATACACAATAGGGGTTTTCTCTGAAAGAAAAAAAACCCTACAGTTTATCTTATTTGCTAGTCCTGACAATGATGTTGTAATTCTGGGAACACATAGTCAGTCGCATACATACACACCCATCCACACACACACACACATACTTCAAACCATTCATTGTGTTTTGCTTGACAAATTTAGCATCAAACAAAAGCGATGACATCATGGGACACACACACATACACACGCACACCGTACAGTGCCCCAAACATCCGTAGCTCATAGGCAGCATCCAGGAATTCAGCATGGAGGATTCGCAGAAAAGCCGGCTGGGTGGAGGCCCTCAGAACAGCAATAACAACAAAAAAACAAATTGCAAGACGCAGAAGAATCACTAAGCACATGGGAAAAAATTCAGGCTTCGGGATGGGTGCTACTACTGCTGCTAGCTATGCTAAGTACTTTTGTCCCTTTTTAGAGATGCCATACAGTGTCACATAATGCGGTTTGAAGCAAATGTGTGATGATTTGCATGCAATGCATGCAATCTGCACAATGCGAACCTGTTATTATTAGATATTAGTTATTATTAGCTATCAGATTCCTTTGCCACATTAGCCTACATTAGCTCTAGTACATAGCGAAAGAAGCAAACTTAGCTTGGCTTATCATTTGAGGCAAGGGGAAAATTGTTTAACTACCTTTAAACTATGCTTGTAGGGAAATTTGGCTAATTGTTGATAATTTCTGCATAATTAAACTGTTCAGGTATAAACAAAGCCATTCAGAGCAGTTTGATGCAAAATGCTCCGTTCTAGAGAAACTCACTGTGTCAGAATTGGTGGCAGTGATAGGAACCAGACCTCTGAAGCGTTTAATGCCATTTTAAAGCTATATCATACAAAGTTATTACATGAAATAGTTACAAATACGCTGCCTGATGTCTGTTTTACCATAGTTTTGAGACAAGGTTTTGGCCTAAAATATATTTTTCTCCGTTTATTCATGGTGATGAAGCACATGCGGGGGATTGTAAAACAAAACAGTCCCCAAAAGAAAACTTAATTCTTCAGATTTGCTACTATTTTCCACTCTCAACATTACACATTGGAATTCCCCTTTAAACAGCAGAACATGAGAGGAAGTGTGCTATCGCGCATAACATCATGATTGTAATTCAATTGCAGGCACGAGCCAAAGGCAGGTACTGTAAATCACTGTAATGCTGTTTGTGAAAAAACGCAACTTTGTTGTGTTTGCAAAATAAAGAACAAAGAAAAGCAAAAAGACCCTGAGTAATGTATAAAATGACTTTAATTTCAAAAATTCCTTTAACCAAGGAAGTGGTAGTCTTTTGTTGTATAGCCATATTAGGCTTTTTCAATACTCGTAATGCTTGTAAAGCATATCAGAACCTGTTTGGTAAATTGTATTCTGTTCATTTTTGGCTTATTTCAGTTTGTTTAGTTGTTCTGCTGTCACAGCTGCCAAATAGCTTGCTTAGGGGTAGTGCTGTCTTATTTCTTCAGAATCGGAACAAACAGGCTCAGATGTTATAGATTTAACTACTGTATCCATTTTCTGTTCTTATATATAATTAAGCAGAGACTTTGCTGCAGTGTGAAGTGAGTCATTACTTAGCAACCAGTGCTCAGCGGAATGACATGGTAATTGCTTCTCAACCAACTGGATTGTGCCATTGGAACTAACTCCTGTATGTAATTTACCAAAACAAAGAGCTACAAATTTGAGCTACAAATGAAAACTGATCCGGAAACAGCGTCTTTTAGGCCTCTACAAGACTGCATTGGAACAAAGCATAGAAAATACACACAGTTTGTTTTTATATGGTAGTGGGTCTTGTAGCATTGTTGCTTTCTGAAAGCCTCTGTTGACTCTGAATCAAGCACAGAAGTGAAACATATTTCAAAAGCACCTATTGTTTGACTCACGGATAAACATGCGTGATTTGTTCTTGTGTTAGTGACGATGCTAAATGGCTGGAGCTGCAGAGAAGCCCTCTGGTCTCGGTCACAGAGTGAGTGATGGTTCTATGTGTTGCCTCTGACTTGCTTTCACTTATTTACTCCATAAATAAGACCCAGAAACCCATGTTTGACCACGGACCTTCTGACACCAGCCAGCGTTACACACTCAACCATCAGTCATATACACTCACACTGCAGCATCCATCAGAGAGGAGTTCAATACTGCGATCACAGAGGAGAGAGCAATGGGAATAGAGAGAGAGAGAGAGAAAGAGAGACAGAGAGAACGAGAGAGAGATAGATAGATAGAGAGAGAGAGAGAGAGAGAGAGAGAGAGAGAGAGAAAGAGAGAGAGAGAGAGAGAGAGAGAGAGAGAGAGATCTATGAATATAAAGCTCCAGTATCTATATTTTATGAGGAATTTTCTTATAGTTGCCAGTTTATGAAATCCTTCCTTCTACCTACATTCATTGGCCATTGCACATAGGACCACAGCTGACCAGATAGTTAAGGTGACCAGATCACAATGATTTAGTTTCAGGACAGCATCCATGCTTTTGAAGGACAATGTGGGAAAGATAGTGGAGATTGAGGTCACAACGCGCCACGTTTCTTCACTGTAAGACTGGTCTGGACTGCCGACAGGCCTGTCTGCATCCACGCGCTCTGATTACACAGCCATTCTGTTGTAACGTGCAGAGTGGACATCTCTGAAAAAAATACACTATTTAGGAGGCATCATGTTGCTCTAAAATGTGTATATACCTTTCAGTGTTAATGGTGCCTTCACAGATGAGCACGTTACCCATACTATGTGCACTAATACACCCTCATATCATAACAGACTCTGGATTTCGAACTTTACACTGGTAACAATCTGGATGCTTTTCTTCTTTGGTCAGGAAAACACAACGTCTATTATTTCCATAAACAATCTGAAAGCCGACTTAGACCACAACACACGTTTCCACTGTGCATTAGACCATTTCAGATGAGCTCAAGTCCAGAGAAGTCAGTGGTGTTTCTGGATGTTGTTGACATATGGCTTCCGCTGTGCACAGTGCACATGTAACTTACAGCAAACCTTCAGTTTTTGGGACGGGCTGTGAAATACTGGACAGGTGGTCAATCTAAAGATATTTTGCCGTTGGACCAACCTCAGTGCAGGAGTAACACTAGGCGTATAGCAATTAATATCTGGTCAGTGGTGGTCCTATGGTGATCTCTTTCGATTGATTGATGGAGCTGAAAAATTTGTAGCAACAGGCTACAGTAAGTATATGTAAACCTACCAACAAAGTTTACTTATATGGTAGATGAATCTGATAAAATGGCCAGTGAGTGTACATGCTTATTGCTGCTTTTGGAACAAAACATTGTATCTCCATTTTTGTCGTTTTTCAGTTTTTGACATAATTTCAAAATGCCTGTTGCTCTTTACATTGTGTGTAAATTTCATGATGAATGGACCAAAAGAAATGGCCCAGAAAGACTTGGAAAAAAGTCTGGTTCTACTGACTTACATTAGCAGTAAAGTAGGTTTTTTCTTTCTCCTGTGAAGTTACCATTTTAGAGAGATACGAGGTTTTGTTACGAGAACAGTGTTATGCATCTATCCTAAATTTGAAGGAAAGGCTTAGTGAGCTCTTTCCCATGGGTCTCTGTGTGTCTGAATGTGACTGATTGTTGTTGAGGTGTTCTGCTGAGTGTCTGCACTGGCACTGCAGGCCCTACACAGGAAACCATCGTCCACTGACCCACACAAAACATCCTGCGAGGAAACGAAGCCCCGAAAACAAGAGGAGCAGTGAGAGAGAGAGAGAGAGAGAAAGAGAGAGAGAGAGCAGAGGTATGGGCCATATGCAAGGTGTGCTGAAGCTCTATGGTTTTTCCCCCAACTGTAGCACTATTGGCATACATACAAAGATGCAAATGGCTTTTGGCAGCCAGACTGTCCAAACAAAATAGTGTCATCGACATATTGCAACATATTGAGAGCTACTGTCTGCTATAAGAGTAGTAAGTCAATGAGAATTACCAAGAACAGGTGTCGAGGCTGTCTGCTTTTACGGGAGACCTTCATCAGAGTGCCCTCTTTCACAAACACCTGAAACACACACACACAAACACACACAGCAAAAATGATCCTATTGTACCAAAAAGTGATTCTATTTTTGGTGATAAGGAAGAACCATTTGGTTGGAGGAGAGATGGTGGACTGAAGCTTTAGCTAGAGTTAACTCTTCATCCTCTTGCGCAAGACTAAACATAATGCAGCTGAAGGTTGTCCATAGAGCTCATCTGTGCAATGCTAAACTAGCACAAATCTATCCCGAGGTTAAGCCAACCTGCCCTCGCTGTGACGAAGATCCGGCGACCCTCTTTCATATGTTTTGGTCTTGCCGCAAACTGTGGAGATTTTGGGACTCTGTATGTTCTACTCTTTCTACTGTCTTTAATAAACATCTGAGTCTCTGCCCTTTACTAGCTATTTTTAGTATTTACATCGGCACTACCCAGTTGAATTCCCAAGAATTAGACTCTATTGCCTTTGATTTGTTACTAGCAAGGCGTAGAATTCTTATCGGCTGGAAGTCTAGCTCTCCTCCCTCTCATTCCCTTTGGCTGAGAGATGTTGTTTTCTTTTTGCACCTCGAGAAGATCAAGTTTAGTTTGAGGGGTTCTGTGGATAGCTTTTATAGATGCTGGTCACCTTTAATCACCTTTTTCAGGTCGCAGCTTCCTGCAGAGGACCTGGGTAATTCCCCCTCTTGAATGCACCATAACACCAATTTCCCAACCGCTCCACCCAACCTTTTGGGGCCCCCTTTTTTTTGTTGTTTTTTTTTAATTATGTTATTTATTTATTTATGTTAATCACTTATCTAGTCATGCTATTTTATTTGCGTATTGACTCATGCTTATACGGTCTGATGTTGTAATTGTTGTTTTAGTACTTTGGTCTGTATATGTTTTTCCTTTGAATAATATTTGAATTTGAATATTTTGAATTTATTTGAATTCAAATAAGCGTTCACTGTTTTATATATAACTATTGCCTTCAATAAAGATCCCTCAAAGAACCAATTTTTTAGGGTGAGGCCATATGAGTGCTTTGGTACTATGTAGAACTCATATGGTCTCACCCTTAAAAAAATTGTTTATCTGAGGGTGCTTATTGGTTCTATATAGAATCTTCATGAAGAAGAACCATTTAACGATGCAACAAAAGCAGTTATGCATTCCAATGGTTCTTTGAGTGTTCACATTTCTATATATGACCAGTTCTTAAAGAACCCCTGAAGAACCATTTTCAAGAATGTAATGATGTCATTCTTACATCTGTTGCAACAAAAGTTATAGACTGCAAAGCTTCTTGTTAAGGTGTTCATTAGCATTAGTGTGGCTTAATAAAGTTTAGCTGTTAAAAGGTTATTAGAGAAGCAAACAAATAAAAAAAAAATAAAAAAAGTAAATAACTTTCACCCACAAGATTATTTGAGAGAGAATCCTGTAGTAACTTGGCGGGTTCCAAAAGTGCCACATACAGATATAAATTTGCTTTGGCAGTAAAATACAGTGTAGTCAGACCATTTGGCTGGTAGCCTAATCTCTTTTGGACCTGCACCGTAAAGCAAGGCTGAACTTATGAAGAATGATTTGACCTACTCTAGCCACTAAACCACTCACTGAAATTCCACTGTATTTAACCCTTTAAATGGCCAGGGCCCCCCAGCGGGCACCAAAGTTTTATTATATGCTTCAATAACCTAAGAATAGCTCAATTAGTTTGCAGTGAGGTCCCTGTACTTACTGAATAATAAGCCTGGAATGTTGCAAGTGTTTTTTCAATAAATGCTGTAAATTTAATCTTTTCATGATTGTCTTTTGGAGGTAAGGCTACAACTCAGCTGTATAACGATTATTGCATGGTGCAACAATGAAGCTGTGAACATTTTTGGCCACTAATTTTTCATCATTGACAGACGGGCTACAAAACGAATTATGTACACGGTCAGTAACCACATTAGTAGCTTGTAGATATGAACCACTCACTCGTCCTGGCTGGAGCAAAGCCCTCTTCCCCTTCACACTGGACTCGATATGGACCAGACGCAGCAGATTCTCCTGAGAAATGAGAGAGAGAGACAGTGAGAATGAGAGGGAGTGAGAGAAACGTACATGAAGAGATAGAGAAAGAATGAAAAAAGAAAGAGAGAAGAAAGAGATGGAAACAGTGACAGAGAGAGGGAGATAGAGAAAGTGTGTGAAAGAGATGGAAAAAGAAACAGGAAGAGAGAGCAAGAGACAGAAACAAATGGAAAGAGAGAGAGAAGAGAGAACAAAATGGAAAGAGAGGGAGAAAGAGAGAGGAAGATAGTGAGCATGAGAGGGAGTGAGGGAAAGGTACATAGAGAGATAAAAAGAGAGAGAGAGAGAGAGAGAGAGAGAGAGAGAGAGAGAGATGGAAACAGACCGAGGGAGAAAGAGAAAGAGAGAAAGATGGAAAAAGAAACAGGAAGAGAGAGCAAGAGACATAAACAAATGGAACGAGGGAGAGAAAAGAGGGAAAGAGAGAGAAAGAAATGGAAATAGAGGGAGAAAGATAGAGAGAGTAAAAATGAGAGGAAGCGAGAGAAAAAGAAAAGTACATAGAAAGAGAAAAAATGAAAAAGAAGAGATAGAGAGGAAAGAGAGAGATAGAAAGAGAGAGAGAGAGAGGGAGAAAGAGAGAGAGAAAGAGAAAGAAAAAGAGATGGAAGAGAGACAGACAGAAATTATTGGAAGGACAGACAGAGAAAAGTGAAAGAGCGATAGACAGAGAGAAAGAGAGAGACAGAGAGAGAGAATGTGTGAATGCTGTTGTTTGTCTGCGAATGAGGGAGGAAGACGGAAAAGGAAGAGCTGTTGGGAAATGAACAGGAGTGAGAGAGATGGAGAGATAGAGGGATCCTCTGTGTCTGTGTGTCTGTGTTTAGGAGAGCTTCACTGATTCAGTCTCGTCTTCGTTACACTGCAGCCTTTGTTTAGGAATGGAACACCTGGAACGTTTTGATGACATCATCTCTCCTCGCCCTTGAACGCAGCAAACACACACACACACACACACACACACACACACTTACCCCTTCTTTAAGGCTGTCGTTGGCCTGGTCTGCAATCTCTGACACAATCACCAGAGCAGCTGTATAGAAAAACAGCGGTTAACAAAATCAATCACAGTAAAAATTGTAGTTATTAGATAAGTATTCAGACCATTTGATAGAAAAATATTAAAATGCTAAAAAATGACTCTGTGGGCAGGCCATGTCACTTTTTATCACACAATTATCATATAAGCGTAATTATTTAAGCTGACTGCAATCAACTTCCACAGTTGTTAAACTTCACAATTTTATGTTTACGTCACTATGAACCAAATGTGAACTGGGTGTGTTTTCAATTCTAACTTTTTACTGGCATTATACCACCTTTAGAGAACAGCAGACAGTAAAGTTTATTTATTTGATGTTTCTTAATAACACCTTAAGGGGGCAGCGGTGAGTAGTGTTTGTTTATTTGATGTTTGTTAATAACACCTTTAGAGGGCAGAACACTACTGTTTGTTTATTTGATGTTTGGTCATAACAGCTTTGGAGGGAAGCAGTGAATAATGTTTAAGTATCTGAATTTAATGACACCTTTAGAGGGCAGCGGTGAGTAATGTTTGTCTGAGCTTGAGCTGTGTCTGTCCTCAGTTGGAATCGACATCTAGGAAGCAAGATAACTAATCGGCCAAATTGCCTACTGTAGGTTTGTAATTTAATAGATGAAACAAAAGAGACGATTAAATTGTTAATTGTTATTTATATGGCATTTACTCAAATATTTGTTATCATTTTGGAGATACAAAATGTATATAAATGTAATTTAATCTGAGTACTTGAATGTAATATTTTTAATAGCTCCATGCCTGAAAACATAAGGAACAAGTTAGTATGAACTTTGCGGAGGCGAACAATACCTTGAGTGTCTTCATACTCTTTGGAGTCAGGGGAGAGGTTGTTTAAGTAATCTGGAAACAATGAAAAGCAGACGCAACAACCATCAACACAGCTCACAGTGGAATAAATGAGAAAACATGCAAAAACTCTGCAGATTCAGAGCTTTCCCATTCCTCTCAGTCACAGTGTCTTACACTGAAACAGACAGACAGACACAGACAGACACACACTGTCATACTAGGTTACCTGTGAGCAGCATGCGATACTGGAGCACACGCACAATGACCTGCTGCAGCTGGTGTTTCACAGGAACCTGCACACCTTCTGCATTCTGTTGCTGTAACACACACATATATGGTTTTTGGTGAAAATACATTCATGCACACATGTACATTTTCATTAAATGTTTGCCTTTTTACTCCAGCAGAATTTCATATATGCGCATATTTATCACATATATGTAAAATATATAGTCAAAATTTTTAACGAGCTTAATCAAATTACACATTTTCTTGCTTTTCTAAGGGAAAATAAGTTCCTCCACAGGAAACAAATTCAAATATACAACATTTTTCTGCAAATTTTAGTGCACAATCATTCTTGGGAAGTGCAGGCTTCAAACACCTGCAGAAGTGTAAACACTGTCCGTACGCTGTGCCCTCCGTGTTCCATTCCATGCCAAAGAAGGAAAGAAAACTGGCGTGGCTTGCAGCTTTAAAGGTGAAATAACCTCCAAAGAGGATGAATGTTTGCTCATAAAAATAGGATATATAGCAAATAGGATATATCTGAGCTTTCCTCAGCTGCTGTGTGGCTGCAGGACTTTCCCAATCCTACAATGCACGAACAACTCACAGTCTCCACCACTCCACTTTCCCTCAGTGTTACCCACGCATGGTGTTCACCTTGGCCGACATGTAACTTCCATGTCTCTATGCTTTCATAGATTTGCAGTTTGGTATAGGGTAGTGGGAAACACCTTTGCCCTCTGTGCTACAGACTGGGGTTCAATCCCCCATCAGGGCAGGCACTCTGCTATACCAATGAGAATCCTTGGGCTAGATTCCTAACACTACCAAATTTCATAAATATAATGTTCTGTAGCTCTTTACACCTTCTAAAATGATGAAGTAGCTCACTATATCAATATAGGCCAAAATGAATACAGATCTTTTAGCGTCAAGAGATGGGGCACTGTCAAAATGTGGTCACCTCAGCTTTTTAAAATGTCATCACTAAGCAACCAGCTGGTACTTTTGGCTTTTTTTGGTTAAAAAACTGCAACACAAGGTTCACTATTTCACTATTTTATGTTTCCAACATAAACACTCCAATCAGAAACCAAAGACTGGCTTTGGCCACGAATCACAGGAAAAAGAAAATCGTAATGTAATGTAATGTAATACTATGTTTACATACTTATATGTAAACATCCATATGTAATTATATGTCCAATGTGCATTGTTTACACTTTATTACCAATATGCAATACATGCATTTCTTTAGCCACTTTCTTCCTCACAGATGTGCAGACAGAGTCAGTCTGGTCATTGCTCTCTCTCCTATCATCCCTTCATCAAGGAGGCCTCACCTGACCTTCAGCCTACAATACAATACCTGATCATAGATCACACACCTACCAAAGGAAAAGAAATCGTTTCAAGGACGTTCACTGACCTTTCCTTACATCTCTGCCGCGGGCAGACGCGGAACTGGAATAAATCTCATTCCTTTCCTCAATTATTCATTATTCACAGAGAAAAAAGGAGAGAACAAGTGAATCAGTCAGGCAAAAGGCGAAGAAATCAATCAAGGCCTAATTGACTTTGACAAGGCTTTGTTCAGACGCGCTCAGATGCTCTAAGGGCATCTCTGGAGGTCAGATAAGACTGAGTTTGGGGGTTCACTGTTCGAAGCCCCTTCTGTATTGGGATAGGGACAGTGTGGGTATGTGTGTTATTACATACTCCTGCCCTGTGCAATAGGGCTTGAGAGATACGTAGTTATATGAAATGTCATATGAGTTTCATGGATTTACCAGCATTGACTGAAATCTCACCATTACAACACAAATCATGTGTCTTTAAATGTTATATAAGAAAAGCACATTCAAAAATATTTTGAGCAATAGCTAAACAACCTAACACTGTGTTGGGCTCTAAAGTGTGCTAATGTTTGAGAGTTCATGTTGTGTACCTGTTTTGTGATGTTTTTATTTATGTTATTTAAAATTTTGTGAGCTTCTGCTGTTTATCTTTTAAGAAATTAAACAAATGATGTCAGTCCATAAAATGTTATCAGAGTCCGTTGCATTCCTGATTATAATAAATTATACTGGCCAATATTACCAATTATCAGAATTATTAGCTCCATAAAATGTGTGACTTTAAATCAGTATATCAGTCAGGCACTATTGTAGTGATAAGGGGTGCTAATAACTTGTTGTAGAGTTTAACATTGTGAGAGTTTATGTTATGTACTTGCTCTGGCTACTGCTGAAAGGGGTTAAATTATAAGGTTATTTAAAAGGGAATTTACCTTAAGTTTCTTAAGAAATTTGACAATTGTCCACTGACAATCATTAGTCAGTAATGTACTGTTTAAATAAAATTTTGCAAGTTAAAATTATTGTCCACATTAGACGCTTAAATGGCCAGGGCCCACCGGTGGACTCAAAGTTTTATTACACACTTCTATAACCTAAGAATAGCTCAAAAAGTTTGCACCGAAGTCCCTGTAGTTACTGAATAATAAGCCTTAGTATGTAATAAGCCTGGGATTTTAAGGGGTCAAAAAGGGGTTCACAGATAGAAGCACCTTGGACAGCACCATTTCTAGAGCAGCTCTCACATTCTGAGGCTTTCAGCAGCCCTCCTTCTTCTTTTTGCCATTTTGTTCCTTACACTTTCTTAGCATCACTTCATTCTCTTTTTATCTTTTGCATTCCATTTTCTAAAAAAATGTAACCATGTAAAATTGCATTCTGGTATACCAGTATAAATTCTTTTCTGTTCAATGCCAGAAATAAATACAGACAACACGAAATGCAAACAGCCACGCTGACATTAGTTTGTCATGGATGTTTCAGTCACATTTCAAATGAACATGAAAACTCAGTGGTTTCTTGACCACCTTCCACTGTCTAGTCTATTGCATCTTGAGTTGTTCACTTTGTTTTTAAGGCAGCAATTGCTGACAGTGATTGCTGGACTTCTGTTTCTTCTTGTCCTGCCTCACTTGGTCAGTTGCATCTGACGAGGCTGCAGTTGGGGCCTTATGTGCGAAACTGTAATGACGGTCATGACCATGGAATGACCAAACTCCAGCCATGACTATATGAGATGCACATATTAGACAAATGTTTTGAGAAATTCAATAAATTCAATATAACTGCTGCTCCATTTAAGGTGGAATAGAAAATTCACAAAAAAAATCTGAAAAAGAAGAAAAATTCAGCCTTGATGAAATTCAGACATGAATTACTGTTTTGCACATTAAAAATATTTCAGATTTACTTTGATTGTCAAAAAAAAAGTGAAGAAACATCCCGAAAGAATAAGCCACACTTGAAAAATTACAGCAATATTACAGTAAATTACTGGCTACAAGTTATTTTCATGGTATTATACTGAACCAACAGTGCATAACAGCAAAATAGCAACTTTATACTGACTTCACAGTCACTTGGACCACATGATTACTGTGATATAGCTGCATTCTGCAGCACACTTACAGTAATAAGATGTAAATTAAAATACAGTAACTTCCTGCATTTTTACATAACTGTACAAGTAATGCAACTCAGTAGCCAGTGAAATTATTTGCTGTAAAATTATTTATGAATAAAAAATTACTTTAAATTTGACCAGATGTATAAATGTTAATTAAATACAATATACATATAACTTTGAATTGTCAGATTAAAAAAAAAACTTTTATTTAAATGTGTATGCCTTTTTAACAGTCATATCCCACAATGCTGTGCGGTACAGCTCAATGCCAATTTCACAGTAATTTGCTGTGCCATTACAGAAAAGATCATAAGAGTTGATTTCCTAAAGAAATATGAAACTAGTATTTTAACACTTCATTACCTCATTCATTTCTCCTCTCTTTTGGAATATTGTCTTTATTTTATAAGTAAGTGGCCGCCGGCTGTTAAGGCCAGCTAGATTCATGGCTATAGAATAACATGACCGCTGTATTAAATCTCTCTGGACTGATAAAGCACCCTGTCCTGAGAGCTAGGGCTAAGATTGCAATCCAAATGATATTTGCGCTGAAGAAGTGGCTTCTCCAGCCAGCTAGCCACTGTGTGTGTGTGTGTGTAAGGGCTGATATTTAGCACTCTTGAGCTGTGCTGGACAGGAGCCAGCGATGGACAGAGCCGGTGGCTGAGGCCAGTGTGCAGACAGCCTACACAAATCACCGCAGGCTGGGCTGAGGCAGCGTCTGCACCCAGCGCTGATTTAATTCAGGCCTGTTAAAGGAGGCTGCTTCACTAATTGGCTTTTGTGCGCCTCATTGCCCAGATGCCAAATCGGTGTGTGTAAGACACTCCTCATGTCTTTATCTCACCCCGTCCACCTGCGCAGTTTAAGAGTCCACTACTGCCATAATGAACAACTACACTATCACCTACACATACAGACAAACAATACACATAAACTGTAACTGTGCAGTACTGAGCAGTAGTCAGAAATCACCCTTCACTTATTTCAATTCCAGTTCAAATGGCCATTCAGTACAAGTTATTTATTTTTACAGCATCAAGAAAATGATACAGGAGTAAATATAATAACTATTTAACTATCATGGAACCCAGGAAGACTAGCAACCCCTTTGTGGAAGCTAATGGGGATCCAAATAAAGAGTAAAGAATACAGACTGAAAATGTGTCCACCTTTATTTTTTATTACAGCTGTCATTCTTTTCTGGAGACTCTTTCAGTTTCTCAAAGAAATCTACAGGGATATTTTTCCACATCTCCAAAGTTCAGTGTTAGAAGTTAGTTGCACTTTCTGCTTCTCATGAGCCAAATAATACGAAACACATTCAGTGATGTTGAGGCCTGGACTATGGGGTGGTCAGTCCATTGTTCTGAAAACACTCAGTTTTCTGAAAATTTCCTCAGTGTTTTTTAGTTTCCTATTTTCTAAATAACAGCTTCTACACCTCCCTCTTGATTTGTCTCCTCACAGTGGAAGGATGGACAGAAACACCTGTTGGCTGATCTGTACCGTTTTTGACCACCATAGAACTTCACGCTGTACAAAGCTGTGCAAACCTCACCTGCATGAACATTGAGTCCCAATTCCTCTGTAGCATTAAAACAATTTTTTGAACTCCAGTTTTGGAAATTCCTGCTTTTATGTTTTTGTTTTTTTGATTATTTTTCTTTGAGTTTCCCCTTTCTCATGCTAGTGAATCATACTATATCTAATTTCCAAAGAAATATCTCCTGGTGAATAAATAACTTGTACCTAATGACCATTTTATATATAAAAAGAGGTTGCCGTTTTTCCAACGGAGTAAAAAATGCAGCAATGTAGCTTTAATACAACAGTAATAACACAGTAACAGAGCATACATAAACACACACACACACAAACACACGCACACACACACACACACACACACACACATTTGTTTAAGCCACTGTAACAGCATTGTAGCTGAATCTGGTTTAATCTTATCAGGCCACACTTGTGATCTTAGAATCCACTATTCATACATCATCTCTGTCAACACAAACACACACACACACACACACACACACACACACACACACACACACACACACACACTAAATGAGATGAGCCCTCCCACTTTGCTACTACAGACTACTGCAGAATGCAGTACACAAGACACTTTGTGTCGCCATAAAGCTCAGAACTGTGTTAGCACACAACACATCTCTAAAACACATCTGATCAAACCTTTCATTAATAATATGAGGAATGAAAATAAAATTTCTAAGCATGTACAAACTAGTGGGAAGATGTTGTGCATTAGGACTGCATAATTATTTTAAATGGTTGTTAGCTTTACCACACATAGATTTACATTGCAAAAAACAGGTGTGTTTTTATCAGTCGAGGAATTAAATAAAAACTTAAATGAAAACTTTAGAGGGCAGCAGTGAGCAATGTTTGTTTATTTGATGTTTGTTAATAACACCTTTAGAGGGCAGCGATGAGTAATGTTTGTTTATTTGATGTTTGTTAATAACACCTTTAGAGAGCAGCAGTAAGTAATGTTTGTTTATTTGATGTCTGTTAATAACACCTTAAGAGGGCAGTAGTGAGTGATGTTTGTTTATTTAATGTTTGTTAATAACACCTTAAGAGGGCAGCAATGAGTAATGTTTATGTTTATTTGAGCTCCAGCTGTGACTGATGTCAGGTGGGATCTACTAAGTGTCGAAAGCTGAGAAGTGAGATAGCTAATCAACCAATTTCGCCAGTGGCATACCGTAAAGAAAAAAGAGTATTAAATTGTTAATCACAATAATTTATATGGCACTTAATTGTCAGCTGAAAGTTTATGACTGTGATAGGCCTAATTGCAATGTAAAATATTACTGCTTTAACTCCCCCGCTAAACATTTTCTCTTGTTAGTGTAATTAGCTTCACTTGGAAATATTTAATTGATTTTGCTTTTCAAATACAGCAATATTCATCACAAAAATATAAAATATCACAGTGTCATTTTTTCACATTATTGCACAACTCTACCATCCTAAGAAGTTCAGAAATCCCATCAATCGGGTGCTTGACGTTATTCAAGGAAATGCTTACAGAAAATTCTCAATGCTAAATGCTAAAACTCATAACATCTACCAATCTGCACGTTCCTATGCCTTAGAGCTGCACCTGGTGCAGATGTGGCAATGTGTCTGCACTTCCTGATTGGGCCTTTATAGAGTTCATTACGCTAGTTTGTGCAGATTATTCAGAGTAACCGAAGGCGACATGCTAGCTCACGGCTTGATCAATGAAGGCCGCGACTGCGTCCACACTCAGACAGCAGGCACAGGAGAGAATAAGCACTGATTGGGAGAGTGAGAGAATCAATGGAGGAGCAGTTAAGGGTAATTGACAGCAGCTTAAGAGAGCTGTACAGATGGAGTCTTCTTGTGCTGTTCATGTAAACAGTGCTGACCTTTTGGGGCTACTGCAGCTAATCCTTTGATGTCTCTATTCTGAGAAAGCGCTGTTTATGTATATATATGTGTTTGTGCAGGCCAGGGGTGCTTCCACTCAGTACAGTTCAGCGCATATATCGTTAGTCAAATTCTTTGACTTATCAAGGAAACAAATGTAATAATTACTCCAGATTTAATTAATATATTAAAAATGACTTAAGACAAATATCAGCCATTTTGCAGCTATAAACAGCATTAAAATGAGCTATTTTCATCTTTTGTTTCACAGTTTCAGCCTGTTTCAAAATTAATGCCACTGAATTCATTGGTAAATAATATTGATTCAACATAGACTCATCAAGTTTTGCCCAGAGAAAGACTCAATGCTACATAATTGAACCACAAACAGACCTCTCACTGGGAATATAGTACAAGCTATCAATCAGGGTGAACATCATTACATATATTACCAATCCAATACGATCACTAGCCACAACAGAGTATGTGGTAATGATGATCACTCCAGGTTTGGTTAAAGCATTAAAAGCTGGTTATTAAGTCAAATAACACACAATTCAAAACTTAAAATCATCTGTATGTTTACATATCAGTTCAATTTTAATGCCACTTCAAACATAACTCATAACCAACTTTACAAAACTATGCAACCAAACATAATGAAATGCCATTATGTTTTAACAGGGCTGCAAGAGCCACAATCTTGCTTGTATTTTTTATTAATTAGAGCTGCACTATGTATGTTTTGGGGATTTGGAGACCTCTCTGGTGGAAATGTGTAATTGCATGCAATGTGCGAACGAATGTAGGTTGTGCTTTGGACCTCTTTCCCCAAGAGGATGAATCAGATGATTTTGAGCGTGTTGAGAGAGAAATCAAAGAGTACTCAGTCAAAACTTGGTGAAGTCCAATGAAAATGTGGATGAATTACTTACTATTTTCATCAGTATGATGTTGACTTTGCATGTGAGGCCTAAACATCGAGTGGGTACTTCGTGTTAAGCCTGCGCATGTGATATTAATACATAAAGATGTATGACATCGTCTGAAAACCTCTACAAAATCCTTGTAATTTGCTCACAGCATGTTTAGCATGTTTTAGTGTGTATTTTTCCCTCCTCACTCAATAATGCTACTTCTTTCAATTTTACCAAAAATATTTACAATGCAGCATTATGTTTATTATACATTGGTATTGAAAAAACATGAGTGCATTGCAAAGGATGCATGGTTAAGGTTGCGTGACTGAGAAGGCCTGTAACCAGATCAAATACTCTGGCCTCACTTCAATGCAATATACATAAAAACATATTATGCAACCAAAAATTGGATTTACCATAACATGGTAAAATTCCTCTTGCATGCTGTTTTTGAAAGCCCTGAGATTGAAGCTTTGCATTAGCTAGAAAACAGTTGCTAAGTTAGCCTACTTAGTTAACAGTAAATAGCACTAAGCAACAGCAATATGCAATTACACCAGCCGTAAGAAAGTTTTACTCTGCAATATAACTTTTTTCTCTGTATCAGACAGAAAATATTAATTAAACATTAGTAATGTACACTCATGAAACAAACCAAAGAGTCATGACAATCATGAAAGACTACAATAATGTACTACTAAAGACAAGATCTCTTTCCCAGACAGACCAGGACCACTGCTATAATGCATCATTTGTGTTGTTGTAAGCCATTGTAATCTATACAATGCTGTAAAGAGCACTCGGATTAGATCAATTTTAATTTAAACAGGAGGCTTTAACGATATCAGCTGCTCAAAACAGTGGCTTATTTCAACATTCATCTCTCTCTCTCTCACTCTCGCTCTCTCACTTCTATAGATTAAGTAAGCCTTCCAGAAGCCCCCCACGCTTACAAGAACTGCTGAATACAGATGCTCATGAATATTGATGAGCTGGGGACAGTTGGCCTCTTGTCGTTGGCGATTCTAATCACTATTTAGACGCGTGGTCAGTCAATTCACCAAACATTCAAGATATGGTCAGGGACCGCAAGTGAATTTGCCTCATGAGTTGAAAGTGGGATACTCTTTCAGTTTTGCCATTTAAGCCTTACAAGTCAAATTGTTATTGTTGTTTAGCCAAACATTTGCCCTACATTTGACTATTTGCTTTACATAACTATTTAAGTGTAACTACATTGTAATTATACCCTAATTACATAATTACATTGTTTTACGTAGTTAGTTACATAATGGATCACATTTACATTTGATTTCCATTCTGTGTTGACAGCTTCAAGTTTGCTCTTCTGAATGATGACAAATGCGTGGCAAGAACGTAAAGGATTTTTTTTCTTTCTCCATAGAAAGATGGTATAAACAATAGTTATACTTCACATTCAAACTGTCAAATTCAAAATGTATGAATTGATGAAGAGTTTAGAATTTATGTATTTGACAGATATACTTTTTTCAATGAGCTATAAGTAACGCATAACTAACTATTATAAATAAACAAATGTATCTTGTAATGTGGATTTTAAAAATATTTTATTATACTTTTGTATTTTATTATCATTGTTGATTTTACATTTTTGTCATGTTTTTGTCATTTCTTGACATCAAAACAAGCAAAACAGAAATGCAGACTCAAAGCTGTTAAAACAGAATGTAAGTTTGATGTAAATGTAATTCATTTTCATACTATGTCATTACTATGTAATTACACACTAACATTGCAGTAGTGTAGTAGAATCACAGTAATAACTCTTGATTTCTAAAATGTAAAAAAATGGAAGAAGAAGTGTTTCAAAGTTGCCGTGATTGACATATTGCACCCTATAAACTGGAGTTCCCAAGCAAAGCAAAGCTGCAAACAGGTTCTCAGACATTTTCCCACCTCAAACTGTTTGACGATGTCGGCAAAGGCTTGGCTCCGCCTACAGCTCTCCTCCAGCAGTGCCATGTTGCGGTCATACTCATTGATGTAGGTCGTGAAGACCCCAAACTCCGCCCGGGACGTCAGAAAGACCCCCACCACCCTCGGGCTGTCCTCCCTGAAGATGAATGAGAAGCGTTAGATGGCTCCTTCAAAGTCACTGAGGGCATCCAAGGATACATCCAGTTTTAATGATGGTGCCATTGGGCTAGTTTACTGGAATGGTGCAACAAATATCAGTGAAAACAAAGCTAATGATGGTCAATACTGTCTATACTGACATCTTTTCAAGTTTTTATGGATTGTTTAAAAAAAGTGATGGTTATTTGTTAATGTGGAAGTGCATCAGCATGTGAGCTCATACATATGATCGTGATCCTGTGGGTCACTTGTATGTGTGCATGATGTGCATGCAGGTTTTTCAGTACACACCACTGTTCAAAACCCTGAAATCACTATTTTCAATATATAAAATGCAATTTGTTGCAGATAAATGTAAATCTACAAATTCATAGGTTTCCATAGGCTGTAATTGAGCTGTAGATGGCATAATAATTCAGAAAGTTGGGCACATTAGGAATGAAGTTTAATAAAAATGAATCCCTAGAATACCTCCGAAAGTGGAGATTAAACTTCAAGACTAAAGTTTATCATTGAATATCTTCTTCTTGCTCCACAAAATCATAAAATATTGAATAAAGCACCAAAAAACAAATGTTAGTGTCCAGTTTACAATATATTAGAATGCACTGTATTATCATTAGGGCTGTCAAACAATTAAAATAACTAATTATGATTCATCATATCAATTTATTTTGTGTAGTGCAAGCACGCAAGCTGAAGCTGGGCTTCAGTGTAGAGCTATAGATGGCTCAAAGGGCCGTTAACATGTTTACTTTGACACCACTACTTATTATCATTACATCATTATTGAATAAAATAGTAAAATGATTAATATGACAAGCAATTCCAATTGATTGTATGGTTGTGTGGATGTGTACTGGTGAAAGTATGCTCACCACTGTTTGATCTTGGTGTCCAGCTCAGTGAAGATGTGTAGGTGGAGTTGATAGGCCTGAGGCAGAGTGCTGAGGATCTCCCCCAGTCTGCCCTCCTCCAGCACGGGCTCACCATCATCACCAACTGCTTCTTCCACCGCTTCCCGGAAGTCCTGAAAAGAGAAAAGAAGAGAAATGTTAGTTAAATACTTACACTAGAATTGTATTTCTATGGTTGGAGTGATTAAATAAATAGTTTTGTGAAAAGTCAAAAAATTGTAACTTTGCACTCACATTTTACACAAGTCAATCAGACAAGGGCCAAAGTTTCTAATGTAGCTAATGTAGCTGACAACAGCTAACTGGTTTCTGTTACTTCCTAGTTAGTTAGCTAGATTAACACTGTGCTAACCGCATGCCTGAAGCTGTTGAGTAATCTCAAATATACTGCTTATGCAATTTTTGACTGTATGACACATTCAACTTAAGTTTTGCCCTGTGGTCTGGATGCGGCCCCAGCAAAGTATTTTAGCGGCCTAAACCGAGTACGTTAAAAAAAAAAACCGAAGCAAAGCCAATCAAGGTATGCAAAAATGGTTGTACTTAGAGATTTTATTTGTTGTAGATTCTATTTTCTAAATGTGTCTTATCCAATCACATGTCCTACTCTTCAGAACAGAGACTTGCTACAGGGTTAGATATCAGGTCAGAAAGCAAATAGTTTCAAATATGTTTTGAAGGGTTTTTTAATTTCAATTGCTATTTCTGGTCTGAGAGGTGATGCAACAATGAGGGCTGTAACATAAACTCAAAACTTGACATGAAAGGTACCTCAGAGTGAGTATTGACTCCCTGACAGTGTAAGAGCATAATATGATCAATAAGAATAGCCTTTATTCAAGTTCAATTTGTTACATTTATTTTACCTTTTGAAAAGACTGGAACTTTCACTTCTGTGGACAAATAAATTACATTATAGTATTATATTATATATTATATAGTATAGCATTACTATTATATAGTATATATGGATCAGTTTACCAAATTGGTTCAGAGTTGCAAACACATTTAGGACTTTTTACTGTTGGTAACTAAAATCCTTTTTCTTTGAGTGACAATATATGTATATTATATTTATGTTATCAAAACAAATGTAACTGTTTTTGCCATTCACTTATGTTAGTTTGTTTATTGGAGTTTTGCAAATTGAATTTGAACTTCTGTAATATACCTGTGATTTATGTAAAAACAAACAAAAAAAACTAACATTGCAAACAAACTAATCTGATAAGAAATCTTCATAACATATCTGCTAATCTGCCACACTCATAGCAAAGAGCAGAAGCTATCGCCTTACCATATTTCTGATTTATTCCCTTTTACTTCACTCACTGTACTTAGGTAAAGACATTATATACTTTCAGAATGGCCTGAAGGAGTATGAATTGCCTCCAAATGTCTGTACATATAAGACTATGTGATATCATCATAAATAATACAAGGCATTGATGTATCTGCCAAGACTGCTGCCTGTAGCTCATCAATTTCAGTTTTAAGGTAGCAGTGACATACATCCACACACACACACACACACACACACACACACACACACACACACTGAGGGTGATAATCCCCTGAAATTCCGCAGGAGCTTCGCGCATTAATCAATGAGTATTGATCGTTCCTGAGTCACCATTTGTCAGTGCTCTCGTAATTCACTCTGTGCTACTTTATGGGTCTCCTCATGGCTATAAAAACATCGTCCTCCACCATGGCTCAATGGCGGGAATCATACCAGACAGCACAGAGGAGCAGGCACATATGGTTACTTTGTTGATGAGTCTAATTACACTTTTATTGCTCCAAGGTATGGTGGTTTTGGCTGCATTAAAGGGCCCATATAATCAAAAACTCAATTTGTCCCTTTTTTTTAAGTAAGAGTTTGATGCATTATGTTAACCCTTCATGCCACAATCTACACAGTCTAAATATGAAAACTAGGCCTTAGAAAACAGCCTTTTTTGGATTTACTGTCATGAGAACCAATGTATTTACATATTTGTGCTTATTCAGCCTACAGGAGTTTAGCTCCTCCCATTCTTGGTGAAGTTATAAGGAGTATTTCAGCCTGTTCTAGTTGTCAAACAAGGCCCAATACAGGGCAGCCAATAAGAACAGAAAACATATATCAACATATATCAACCTTAAAGTACTGGTGCAAACATTCCTTAATGGGTTTAAGGGGTTAAAACTACGGGTGAAACCGCATCACTGAATAGCTCGCATTGAGGGGAATGTTAGTTGATTGTGCCCATGTGGTCAAGCTGATGTTGAGACTGGCTAGGATATTGCTCACAAGGGCAGGATTGAGAGAAACCCCACCATCTTTTGCACACAATGAGACTGTGACAACCGCACACAATTGGAAATCCAGCTGAAGTATGTTTGCACTTGCTGTAAATCCAGATTCTCTGGCTAAAATGTAGGATGGTTAGGTCTGGTGAAGAGGCTCAAAATCTGGTCTGTAGTCTCCAAAAACAAGAAGCATAATTTCATGCCACGTTTGGGACGAGATCTGGAACTTCCTTTGTCATTTTTCAGAAATTCTTTGTGTTATTCCATACCATACCAGAAAAATAGGCAGCACAGAGAGACAGCACATATGGGACTATTGTAATGCAATCTGGAAGCTTCATAGTTCTAGTATCTATTCATGGTGTGGGTGATATCGTCAAAGTATAATGTCATGATATTTTTCACAATATTCATGTAGTATGTATTACATATGTGTAGATATATTTAGTTTAGATTTGGTGAGTTGGAACAGACACAATACACCAGCAAAAGAGTACTGCTACCTTTTAAAAATGCTTCAAAAACTATGAGTAAGATTTCCTTCATGTTTTCATTCAGCAATATTCTCTCACTACAAAACCATTGGGAATCCCAGTGGTGCCAAACATTCCTGACTGCTTGCATAACCAATGACCTATAGGCTAACAAATGCAACCAAGCTAGCATTAATGTAAATCATATCTCAGTTGTCAACCAAAAAAAAAATTAAAGAAGACAGCTATTACAATATACATTTAACACAAAATTGACACCAGAGACAAGTTTTTTACCCTTTCAGCCAAAGAAAAGGGGCCAAACTGGGATATCTAGATAGCTAGATAGCTATCTTGCTAAGCTTAGCTTTTAGCTTGTTGTCCTCCTTATCATTGTCATTTCTGTTGTTTGAGCAATCCATTCTTTCCTCTGTAATGCTAATTTCAAAACAGTTACTGTAGCTACACGGCTGCAATAAAATATCAGACTTCTTAGCAGCAACCTCAACAAGGTTTCTTCTGCATTCACCAACTGACAACAACAACAACAACCATAAATTTCACCCTGCACACAAAAGCTAACAGGAGTTTTTCAAAGGCTCTTCCCACCTCCAAGATACATCATTTGAAGGGCTTTTTTCTAGTCTTAAATCTGAAAATATCACTCTAGAGACCACTGCAGCACTGCTGTAAGATGAGATTACAAATGTTTTCAGTAGATGATGGTTAAATTTTACATTTGATCCATAAGTACAAAGCACACCTTTAAGTGCCCATGATATCCTCAGTACAATGAGTGTGTTTACATGCACTTAATAATCCGATAACTGCAGAAAATCAGATTTTGTCAGTAACCTGATCAATGTGTTTACATGCACTTGGGTGATCTGATAATGGGGAAACTCCAGGCCTACATGAGTCAGGCAGTAATCGGATTTCTGCTTTGCAACCAGTCAGTAAACTCACAGAAGAAGATGTGACATAAATGTAATGTGAAACTCAAACTTCATGCTGTGGAATTAAAAAAAAAAAAACACTGAGCCACATTACATGAGAATATCTAGAAAATCATCTAGAAAATTGAGAATATGTAAATCCTTCATTTTGTCAAGCATGTATTTAGTTTCAGCATTGCTCCAAAAGTGTTTTGCTACCATCTTGCGGCAGCGCTGCTGGCTTGTTTTCAGTACCACCATCTGTTTTCACACATGTGCAGACTGAGAAATCCGAAAGAAATCAGAGTAAGCGTTTACATGCACTGAGAAATCTGATTACTGAGCTAAAATCCAGCTCTCTTTATTGGATTTCTCAATCAGATTTCTAGACCTCACTCCAATCTAAGAAATTGGAGAGTGCTGTTTACATGACCATTTGTATAATCAGATAACTGCAGAAATCTGAGTATGATTGAATTATTGAGGACATGTAAACACACTCAGTCATAATGAAATGTATCATGATAACAATGTCAAATCTTCAAATCGCCCACCCTTATCTATGCATACAAATAGTGTCACCTATAAGCCCAATGACCCAAAGAAAATCACACCATGGCATGTAACCCTTACTGCATGAATCCATATGCAACAGGATCATGGAAACATTCTCAAAGTCGAAGGTGACAGCAGAAAAACAACTGATTTAATGCTGGCATTGAAGAGTGATAATCAAGGTGACTCCATTCACTCCTCTCACTCATCCTCATTACTATTCAACGTAATACACACACACAGTGATTAATGACATCTATATCTTACCACATTAACGCTAATTGTATTAGGTTGCATAAATATTAATAGCGTATCAATATTAAACTAAACGTTCTCAAAATACAAACATGCCCCCGCAGCGCTTGCGATGGATCGGCCTACAATCAGTTCACTCGGTTCTCCTTTTGTGCCACTGACGCAGCCTAATGCAAATTTAAGAGATTATGCATGTAAATGGGGGCGTATAATTACGGTACTGGACCAATACAAAGCAGTACAATATGCATATGAGTTACGGAGGCATGTGTACCATTAGCATTCTTCAGTAGTGGAATGATCAGCAATTGTATTGACTGGCGTTTATTTTATTCAAATTAGGCAATTATACTGCTGAATATAAAGTAAAGTAATTTACATGAGGGGACGCTGCTCAGCGCTCTCTGGCCTCTGATGAATTATGCTATATCACGTTATTCCTTCATCTCTGTCCCCTCTGTAATACTTGTGAATGCAGACAGAATTCATTATAAAAAACAACACATGAAAGTTGACCCAAGGTCAGTGCGTGCAGGGTGAGTTTTGACACTGCAGGTTGTAGGGCTTCAGTAGGCTCTAGAACAACTCACACACACACACACATGCAGACATATATTCATACATAATGTTCTGTGCAGTAGTCAGAGACCATCCTTCCTTTATTTCCAGTCAAGACAGCTTAAGTACAAGTTTTTTTTTCAGCATATTTAATAGAAAGTGACAGAGAAGCCTCAACTACTAAATGTAATATCCATTTTCCAGTGTGACCACTGAACACTTTATTTACAGCTTCCATTCTTTTTGAGAGACTTGCTTTCAGTTTTTCTAAGAAATCTGCAGGGATATTTTCCCCAACTCCAAAGTTCAGTCTTAGAAGTTGGTTGGATTTTCTTTACAATCAAAGTAAAACTACAAATTTAGACCCAACCTTACTATACATCTCAGATGTCCAGTTTTGGCCTTTGAATGCAATTTTTCTTATGGCTCTGACAGATATATATAATTTCAGATACATATGAGAAAAAAATGTACAAGGCAGCTGAGGTGTGTTTGCTCTCTTTTAAGGCGAATACAATATCTCAATATTTTTGGGAACAGCTTTTGTTGTGAGTACACAGCTGTTGGTTTTAATACTGAAAGAATCGAAGAGAAAGTAACTGCTGGACAAAACAAATATTGAAAATAAATAACTTGCACTTTTGACTGGAAATAAAATAAATGAAGGGTGGTTTTTGAGTACTGTATAAAAATTATTATGTAAAACCTTTTACCTTTAAGTGTGCTTTTGCTCATTAAAACACCAAATGTCATTAGAATAAACATAAATACAGAACAAAATAACAAGAATCTATTGTTTACAAGAAAGTAGTTGATTTCTTGTGATGCACTTTAAAGAACAAAGCTTGGTTCCAGATTTCTCCTTGACCACATTTGTTAAATTCCATCAGCATAGTAAATCACCTGATTTAACTTAATGAAGTATTGCTTTGCTAAACCAGGTATTGAATGATAACTGCCAATATTACTGAGCTTCCTCAAAGACACATCTGTTTCTGTAAATTGTGAGGACATTACATAGACTTCCACTCATTTTCTAGAGACCTAACCAAACCTTCACTATAAATGCTTCTAACCAAACCCTAACCCTTACCCTAACTCTAACCCTAGCCCTAAAATAGTCTCCACTTTAGAATTTAATGATTTACGTTGTGGGGACCAGCTTGTGGTCCCCACAAAGAAGAGAGGTCCCCACATTGTATATTGAGCGTATAAATAGGTGTTGCTCCCCACAGTGTGTCCTAAACCTAGAAGGCACACATACACACACACACAGCTCAAGGGAGCCGGACTGGAGAGATATTTGGACTGTCAGAAGTTGCTAGCTAATGAAAACAAATGAAAGCTGCTATTAGATCCCAAAGCACCAGCGACCCAGCTCAACAAAGGCCTGCCGAGCCAGAAACACACACATCCACACATCCTCCTTATTCAGCTCCACAGAGAGATTCCACCTGTCTCTGTGTCCAGTATGCGTATGCATCAGTGGCATTAACATGCATGCGTATTTGTGTTTGTGTCAGTGTGTATGTAGAGCATGTGAACCCCTCTTAAGTGTCTACACACGCAGAGAGGATAACCCAAACAAAGGCCCAGTGCGTAGATACTGCGTCACAGTAGTAAAGACTTTTTCAGGATGATGTTGTTAAGGCAAGGAAGTCTCAGTTACTGCAACAACACTGATAAACCTGCCTTATACTGATCCAGTGTGCGTGTGTTTGTGTGTCTAATGGGCAAGAGACAAATAAGAGCCTTTAACGTCTTCAGTAACTCTAAAGCCAGTATTAGGGTTGGGCAATTCGACAATATTTTACTGTTATCCTAATAAATTACTTCATGATATAGCCTTCTGAGTACATTATGGGTATTATCAGCACCTCTAGACCACTGAATAACTGCATTATTTAAAAAAAACCAAAAAAAAAAACCAATTTAAACCTGTCACAGCCAGTGAACAACGACAATCAGCGTACAATAACAGCACAGGCGCAAAGGTTTAATACACTCACCCAAGCCCCCCTATCAAAATACATGTTTTGTTGATTTTCAAAGTGAAAATATATTAAACTTAAGTCTTACATTTATACACACACCCACACCCACACACACACACATATATATATATATACATATTTTTCCATATGTTAAATTCAGCAACTAAACATAATCATGCATTAAAATGTGCAGAAGTGTGTTCTATGTAGAGGATATGTAGAAAATCAACAAAACGTCATTTGACTAGGGGTGCCCAAACTTTTGCATATGACTGTCTATATTTTTTAAAATCATCAATGCCTCAAGCCAGCAAAGTAGTTCTTGCAGCTTACAGTAAATTGACCATTGTAGTTACTGTTATTATTCAGAATGATGGTTCTCAAACTGGTCCTCAGGCACCCCAGATAGTCCATATTTCTGCTCTACTCGTATGTGTTTGGAGCTGGAATAAAGGGTCCCTGAAGACCGGTTTTATTTGACTGAGGACCTTATTTTATTAATTTATTTTTACCAATTGTTAGCCTGATCCTTCTTTAACAGTTGAATTTTGCAAGCCCTGAGCCTCAGAGTATTCATGATTGTACTCATAATTTTTTTTAGCCTTTTTTAAATGTAGCACCCTGTCCTTGCTCATGACATTTTAGGCTCTTTAATGTCCTAGCTCCAGCATATCTTGCTGATCTGTTGAAGTGTTATAACACATACAGACCACTTTGCTTACCTAAAGCAAGCATACAGCAAACTTATAGGATCAATCACAGCTCAGCTGGTAGAAGTTCATTTTCTTATCTAGTTCCTAACATCTAGTTCTTAGTGTGAAACATATAATGTGGTTATATATAGTGTTAACTTATTTTAATTTATAAAATCATCAAAGCGTGTAGTTTGACCAGGGGCAATCATAGTTTTGTCATACAATCCCTATATGATGTCGATATAAAACTCAACACGACTGGCTTTCTCCTACCTGATATGACATCATTAGTGTTAAAATCATATGGGTTTTTGCACAACACAATCATTTTATATGGAAACAATAACAGTAAACATCTCAAATCCCATTTTGTATTAATCTGTGCTATAATAACTTTGATGCTTGCTCCTTTTAAACCAGCATATTAAAACTGTTTTCATTCATAATGCCTGATTATACTACTTACATCATGTCTGCAGTATGAATTTTCTAGCAAAGCTCATTTCATACAGACCACTATCAACACATTAGCTGAAAAGTCCACTCAGCAATGCTAGTCAATAAAGCACATCCTCAGCCAGAACTGATTGAGCTGAGCTCAAAGACGCAAAGAGCAGGATTTAGACAGCCTAGCTGTTCCCTTCACTGTCAATACCATAAACATCTGAGCTAAAGGACATTCAGAGACTCATATAAACAGAAGTCCCTTGGAGGAATGAGAAGCTAGCACATATATGCACAAAGACCATATTATTGTATATATAATCTGATTATCTGACCTTTCATAACACTGGGTGGTAAAGTTGCATGCTCCGCTGACATTAACATGCAAAATAAGCACTTCTCTTAGCATATTGTATGTAACACTGTTGAACGATGATGCCCAAAAATCAACAACTGAACAGAGGAAATGAGAGAAAAATGTTCCACATACCTCTTGAAGTAGTTTCAGTGTCTTCAGATGCCTATAAGATCAAAGCAGAGAGAGAAAACAAAGTGCAAATTATTTAAAAAGTGTTTAACTTCATTGTTTTTGTGACGTTACAAAGAGCAACACATTGACATATATTCTCCCATTCAGCCTAGAGCTGCTTAGCCCAATCATGCTGAAGTTATAAAGAGTGTTTCCACCTAGACTGCTTTTTGAACGAGGCTCAATACAGGGCATCCAATCAGAACAGAGCTCATTGAAATATATCAATGATAAAGACACAGTAATAAACACATCCTGTTTAACTCTAAGGGATAAAGAGAGGCGGAAAAATGGTCATGTAAACCTGAATTATGACAAAAGTGGGAAAAATAAAGCACAAAAAATGTAGGATTACTTGAAATAAAGCTTAATATTTATTTGAATCGAGCCAATTCAAAGCCACAGCAGCTCTAGTAAACAGCAAAGATACAGAAAATGACTAAACAGCTACGGCCATCCCAAGAGAAGCATGGATGAACAACAGCATGGCACTAATAAAAAAAGCCAATATTTATAGCAAAAATATTGAACCACTTCTTTAACGACTCATTGATGCGTTGCTGAAATCCAATATGCTTGCAGAGACAGTGCTATAATAAGCTGTCAGTTTGTATCGGAGAGGGGCCGGGCTATGAATGTGTAAACAGAGTGAAGAATAGGATGAGGAATGTCAATAGTCACCAAAATGTTTTCTGAAACTGCTTCCCCAAAACATCTCTCAACCAGCTCAAACCACATCCAGATTTTCATAAAGGTTGCACAGATCTGTCAATGTGGTTTAGAGGACAGTATGATTTACCTTGAGCTATAAATATGAACAAATCTTTACCGCAAAGCTGGATGCTGTGTTACAGCTGTTGTGCCATATTGTGCTTTCCATGTGACTCAACTTCATGTGCATGCATGTCATGCAGGCACGTGGGTACTAGATTAATACATATTATATCTTAAGTTAGAAAATTCAAGACAGTTAGTTTTAGACTCAGCCCACGACGCGGAGGCAGAATTCGGCACAACACCCTTGTTGCGTACTACACAGTGAGGTTTTATTAATTTGTTGAAATCACAAATTACATCAACACATTTTTGCATCCTTAGTGAAGAGCTGGATGTAGTTTGAGCAGGTTGAGAGACATTTTGTGGATGCAAGATTTGGGTGACTATTGACTTCTAGTGTATGTTAGCTACAGTAGACTAGGAGCTTAAGTTTATAAAGTTTATAAACTAAAGAAGCAAAATCTGGACCCCAAATATGTTTTAGCTGATCGACCACATCTGGGCAAGTTAACAATTGTGTCAGTTTGATTTTTGACCAAACCATTCTTTTAAGGGTACACTGACCCTAACGTTAACCCCAGCAACCACTGAACATCTTTCTGTTTCATAACACCAGCGTTAACTGTTTTCTTGATCATTTTAGGGAGCCACAAATGTGTCGTCTGTTGAATTATTTGGAAGTTGCCTGCTATCAGTCTTAATATCTGTTGGTCATAGTGGTCAAACACACACTTACTCTCGTTCTGAATCCAGCAGCTCTTTGGCTACATAGTAGGCTCTGGATCTGCCATCAATCTGCAAATGACAAAAGAGAGACAGAGAGAGAGAGATAAAAGAGAGGCATCAGCGTTTAAAGAGTTTCACCAGGCTAAACGCTGCTAAACAACAGATATGAGCCTGAACAGCCTGAGAGACAGAGCGAGTGAGATGGAAAGAGTTGAGAGACAAAGACAGAGACAGAGAGAGAGAGAGAGAGAAGAGAAACACACTGATCTGAATTTTTCCCCACCCGACCCTGTCAGAGGAAGACTGATTATTTCATTAAAGCACAACATAAACGTGAAAGCTTTTCCAAACTGCACAGCTTTGGCGGCGGATGCATTATGGATGAGGGGCCACGTTCACAGCAAAGCACAAAGCCACCATTGATTTGCAAGCTAATCACAGGCGGCCCGATGCGCGTGCCGCTGTTGAATGGCTATATTTAGGAGGTCAAGGCAGTTTGTTTTAGTGGCTTGGACGACACAGGCTGATGCAGGTCCTTCACTTTAACTCTTTAGAAGTCGCTGCGGTCGCCAGTGATAATTAAAGCTTGATGTAGACTAATTCAGTACATAAGTAATAAGTATCAGTAATAATCATTCATCGCTTCTTCGCTGATTCAAGTGGAGAAATTCTGCAGAAGTGATTCCAAACTTTCTAGTGATGCTCTTAAGCAGAATGAAGGTATTTTCTTGAACAGTCTAGTTTTGTCTAAAAGAAAAACTATCCAAAAAGTCAGAGCTGCAGACCAAAACTGTCAACTTAGAATGTAAATTGAATGTAGATGTATTTCATATGTTAATTAATCATATATAATTATGTAATTTCATTGGAATAGTCTTCCAAAACAAACAATCATTTTTGGCTTCTACAAGTTGAATCTAATTGCTTCTGGGTCCCTAGTATCACAATTACTAGTGAAGTATATTCTGTGTTTGCATGAATAAACATTTAAACATCGAATTTGCATTCATTTATAACCAAATTTATAACCAAAGGTGAACAGTAACTACATCCATTTACTCACGTATATACACTTAAGTACAGTTTTGATTTTGAATTTGTACTTTTTTGAGTATTTAAAAATTATTTCAATACTCATTTCTACTAAGGCACTGGTGCAAATTCAGGGGGGTTGGTGGGGGGGCATGTCCCATACACAGTTGTGAGATAATTTGGGTGTTATGGGACTGCTGTGAAAAGGTACATAGGTGAATTGTGAAAGAACTGTCAGATATTACTATACAGCTATCAGCTATTCCCATTCATATTATTTGTTGACTTATGCAACACCAGTTTTTAATAGGCCTTCTTATTTCTTGTATTATTTATATCAGAGAAGAACAGAGCCTTGCAAATTTGAGTTTCTATGTTGGTTTATACTTGATGTACTAAGGAGTTCCACTGCAGTTCTTTAGTGAAATCAGTGGCTGATACTTTTTTACTTTTTTGCTTGGGTCCTTTTACTTCTGCTTTGGTTATTTTAGTGAAGTATATACGTAAGTATAATAGTACATTTGTATAGAACAATACACTGATTATAGAATTAGAATACACCATCTATCTCTGTTTATAAAACTGTTGTAGATGTTTTATGAATGTCGGCTAAAAGTGTTATGTAATACCTCCCACACATAAAAGCTTACTACATTAGTAAAATAAAGCATAAGCACCAGCCGCCCTGTTGGTTTTTGAAGCCTTACTATCGGGCTGATATGAGCTCTTGGGTTGGGCTCAAGTATTCTCAGCCCTTGACTTTCTTTTCTTTTTAAAGACGAAGAAAACAAGGAAGCGTGCGTCACAAGGCCAGGGCCGGGCTGATAGCGCAGGGGCAGAGGGAACGGGTGGGGTGCCGCTGTCTCCGCGCCTGGAAAATGGCCGACAGGAGAAATATGAATCTGAACCTGACAGAAAAGTGCACACACAGGGAATTCCACTTAGAGAGGGAGGCTCCTTGTTTTTGTCTGAGCTGGCGCACGAGAATTTGATTACAAGTTCAGATTGGAGGACCAGGGTGAAGCCCTTAAAACACAGTGACACCCCACATTACTCAACGAACACGCTTTTTAATGGCAGTAGATGGTGTCAGCAGGTTAACCCTTAGAAGTCCAGAGTTATGTTGGTTTAGCTATACATTTTGATTGACATTATTTACATTTACTTCTATGCACATTACAATTAATTAGCTATCACATATAGAGTTGCCAACTTTGGTGAGGTGACTGGAGTGAGATTTTCAGGTGGTTAGAGTGAGACCGGAGTGAGATGTTCAGGTGGTTGGAGTGAGACGGTGAGATGTTTAGGTCATTGGAGTGAGACTGGAGTGAAATTTTCAGGTGGGTGGAGTGAAACTGGGGTGAGATGTTCATGTGGTTGGTTTGAGACTGAAGTAAGATGTTCGGGTGGTTTGAATGAGACTGGTGCGAGATTCTTCAGGTGATTGGAGTGAGATTAAAGTAAGATTTTACAGGTAGTTGGAGTGAAATTGGAGTGAGATTTTTCAGGTGGTTGGAGTAACATTGGAATAAGACTTTTCAGGTGGTTGGAGTGAGACTGGGGACAGATTTTCAAGTGGTTGAAGTGAGGCCGGAGTGAGATTTTCCAGGTGGTTGGAATAAGACTGGAGTGAGATTTTCAGGTGGCTGGAGTGAGACTGGAGTCAGATTTTCAGGTGTTTGGAATAAGACTGGAGTGACATTTTCAGGTGCATAGAGTGAGACTGGAGTGAGATTTTCATGTGGTTGGAGTGAGCCTGAAGTGAGATTTTTAAATGGTTGGAGTGTGACTGGAGTAAGATTTTCAGGTGGTTGGAGTGAGATTTTCAAGTGGTTAAAGTGAGGCCGGAGTGAGATTTTTCAGGTGGTTGGAGTGAGACTGGAATGAGATTCTTCAGGTGGTTGGAGTGAGACTGGAGTGAGATTTTTCACATGGTTGGAGTGAGACTGGGGTGAGATTTTTCAGGTGGTTGGAGTAAGATTGGAATAAGATTTTACAGGTGGTTGGAGTGAGACTGGGATCAGATTTTCAAGTGGTTGAAGTGAGACTGGGGTGAGATTTTTCAGGTGGTTGGAATGAGACAGGAGTGAGATTGTCATGTGGCTGGAGTGAGACTAGAGTGAGATTTTCAGGTGTTTGGAATAAAACTGAAGCAAGATTTTCATGTGGTTGGAGTGAGACTGAAGTGAGATTTTTAAATGATTGGAGTGAGACTGGAGTAAGATTTTCAGGAGGTTTGAGTGAGACTGGAATGAGATTTTCAGGAGGTTGGAGTGAGATTGGAGTCAGATTTTTCAGGTGATTGTAATAAGATTTGAGGAAGATTTTGAAGTGGCTGGAGTGAGACTGGAGCAAGGTTTTTTAGGTGGTTGGGGGAAGACTGGAGTGAGATTTTGGAGTGGGACCAGAGTGATTTTTTTCAGGTTTTTGGAGTGAACATTAAGTGAGATTTTCAGGTGTTTGGAGTGAGACTGGAGTCAGATTTTTCAGGTGGTTCGAGTGAGTTTGAAGTGAGATTTTTCAGGTGACTGGAGTGAGATTTTCATGTGGTTGGAGTGAGACTGGAGTAAGATTTTCAGGTGATTGGAGTGAACATTGAGTGAGATTTTCAGGTGGTTGGAGTAAGACTGGAGTGAGATTTTTCAGGTGGTTGCAGTGAGTTTGGAGTAAGATTTTTCAGGTGGTTGGAGTGAGACTGGAGTGAGATTTTCAGGTGATTGGAGTGAACATTGAGTGAGATTTTCAGGTGGTTGGAGTGAGACTGGAATGAGATTTTTCAGGTGGTTGGAGTGAGTTTGGAGTAACATATAATTGTATATAAAGTAATATAATTTGGAGTAGTGGAGTAGTTACATTTTTTCAGGAAGTATTAAGTAAAACTGTGAGAGTTGGCAACCCAGTACATATTAAATGAATTCTGCATTTAAGATAATTTCTGTTTGTTTTGATGTCAAAAAATGACAAGAACTAAAATGTATTTTTTCTTTCTTTCTGCTAAACGGAACCGTACATGCAACAATAACTTTTCATCAAGTTCAAATTACAATAGCCCCTCTTCTACATCACCTATATACAAATGGGGTATGGACTGATGGTATGAGCACAGGAGAACATTCTGAAGACTACAGCTACACAGTTTGTGTGTTATAGCACACAAACAAGTGTTTGGGCTTCTAACATGGTGTTAATTTTGGCTGATTTTGGAGTGCCTTAGCTTCATTACCACATTACCATGAAGGGTGTCCAAAGTTGAAAGACCTAATGACCTTTACTTTTTATGCAGATATGCAAATTACATAGTAGCCATACATGTCAATTCTTGCTAACCTCAGAAGTGGTTTAAGCTAAAGAAAGAAACTGGCTGATTAGCGAGGAAGAGATTTTCACCTGTTCTGATGTGACTGACCTGTCTATCGTAGCTGTGATCACCACAACCCTCCTCTTCCTCAGACGTGCGCCCATGGTCTTCATCAGCAGAAAGAGATGCAGGAGCAGGACACACAGGGAAAGGCTCCGTGTAGGCACTGACAGAGAAAAAGAGACTGTCATCACATTTAGATCAACTGTAAAATATGACAGTATTTTCACTGTCATAGTACTACAAAATGTTTTTTGAAAACAAGTTTGTAAACACAAACCCTTCATGTACTGTATTAACACTGCTGTTAATTTACAGAAATAGCATATAAATTCACATATGATGTTTATTTCACAGACATTTAAGTTTATTTTAATGTTTAATGTGTACGAAATTAAACGACTGTAATATTTTTACTATTATCTGGCGCCCCTGCTGCCTGACTTGCTTTTTTACAGTCTGAGAGGTATCACACACTTATATGATGTTTGTTGATGAAGAGTATTGGTAGGTCAATGTGTAAGGGTGAAAGACTCTGATGTTAGCAAGGCGAGCAAGAATTTTGGCGCTCATTTCAGTCAGCTTGGAAACAAAAAAACACTTTATGCAATACACAGTATGGAAAAAGATGTATGAAAAGAAAGGCATACCACACTGATCAGCCACGACATTATAAAACCACCTCCTTGTTTTTACATTCACTGTCCATTTTATCCGTTCCACTTACCATACAGGCTCACTTTGACACCTCAGCATCACTGCTGGACTGAAAATAGTCACCAACCAAAAATGACCATCCAACAGTGTCCTGTGGGCAGCGTCCTGTGACCACTGATGAAGGACTAGAGGATGACCAACACACACTGTGCAGCAACAGATGAGCTATCGTTTCTGACTTTACATCTACAAGGTGGACTGACAAGGTAGGTGTGTCTAATAGAGTGGACTGTGAGAGGACACAGTGTTTAAAAACTTTAGCAGCACTGTTGTGTCTGATCCACTCGCACCGGTGCAACACCACCAACACATCAGTGTCACTGCAGTGCTGAGAATGATCCACCACCCAAATAATAACTGCTCTGTGGTGGTCCTGTGGGGGTCCTAAGCATTGAAGAACAGGGTGAAAGCGGGCTAACAAAGTATGCAGAGAAACAGTCGAACTACAGTCTGTAATTGTAGAACTACAAAGTGCACCTATAGAGTAAGTAGATATGATAAAATGGACAATGAGTGTAGAAACAAGGTTTTAATGTTATGGCAGATCAGTGTATAATGCAGATAAAATCATTTTTAACCATTCTGGAGATAAAAACAGGTTATTGGTCAATCAAAATGATTAGGTATCCCATGACCCCCTATAACTGCCACTCAGGCCACTGTCAACTGTGAGAATGTCTATTGCAGTGCTTTAATTCTCATTGAAATTAAACTGATGCTTTGCCCATAAATCCATACTTTCATAGCAACTTCTGCGTGGTTGGATGCGCATTACAGAACCTTGACAAATGTTTTTTTTCATCTTAATGAGAATCTGTAGCACATAACTCACTTTTGTCAAAACAGCAAAACCAAAAGCCTACCCTACTGTATTCATTTCAAACAATATCTATTTTACTTGTGGGTTTTTTGTGGAAATGAGCTAACATAGCTAACATAGGCATGGTGAAATGTTGTTTCCAATCAGATTCATTTCGTTCAGCTACAACAACACAGCGTAGCAATTTAAACTGGAAACACAAGGTTATGCAATGAATCAAAACTCCTAAATTTTTTTGGTTGAAGGGGAGATTTGCAAGACTGCTGTAAAGCTAAACCAACCTAGCAACAGTTGCCATGAAAGAACACATTTGTGGGCGCAGCATGGATAGGTCAATAACACACAGGCCCCAAATTCTGGGCTAGAGTTTTGAACTCAAGACTATCAATTCCAACCAATTGAAAGGTGTAATTCCAGTCAGTTGCCATCATGTAACATGTACACTCTGCTGCCTGTCCTCTCTCTGACCATGTTAAAAGACGACCAGATAGGGACAAAACTGTTACAACCCCAGCTGCTCGCTAGGCTAATCGACCCACTAGCATCTCACTCCAACTGCTTAGAGACCATCCTACAACCTTATTACAGACTGGATACCCTCTTCATCCCTCTACAATGAAAACACACCCAAGCAAAAGGGCTCTGAGAGGACATTTTGTATTAGGCAGCTCTACAACGTCCAACCGAGCGGAAATGACCCTTTGCTGAGGAGTATTCCCTCTCTTCATTTGGACGAGCCCTGGTGTGACTAATTTTCTCTCCTCAGCCCCTCCGCTGCTTACAGTAGTAACACGCATGACTGAGGCCAGATTGTGAAGGCATCGGCGTCTGGGGGTGAAAGTGAACTCTACAGTCATGTGGTTGGCACTTGGCACTTAGAGAAGCGAGACATATGCAGCCCCAAGGAATCCATATGCAGGGAATTTACAAAGAGGTAATTTAATGACATGCATAAAACGTAACATTGCTGTCATACTGACACCTTGTGTCTCCAAAATGGAGAATAAAAAAAGTTTTTTTGTTAATGTATGCTGATCAGGGGAGTTTTGTCTGTTATGATAACCCTACAGGTCACCAGGAGCGAAAAAGAAGAAATAACCATACTGAAATATATTAACGTAAAACTATTTTTCTACTAAGCTGGCTGGAGGGTTCACAAATCATGTTTATAATAGCTAGAAGCTGATGTTGTGGTCTCTGTGTAAGCTGCCGATGGACCAATTTTCATCAAATTTAGTGCACTGCCTATAGCCAATCAGCACTGCTGAACAATACTGGCTGAAAAAATGCTCTTTACCAATCACAGTCGGCTGTTGTTAAACAGAAATATCACACTGCTTTAAAATAATTGACCTCAGTAATTGTAAGCAAACAGTAAAAGCAAATAAACTCTATCTGTGCATGTAAATGTGTCAAAGTGTGTTCTCTGTAGAGGATGTGCTCACTTATTTTCACTTAGAAAATCAACAAAACATCAATAATTTGTCCAGGGGTGCCAAAACCTCTGCATATGCCTGTGCAGCCTGGTAGGTGCAAAATTGCTGTGTGCACCTCAAAGACCTGGCTTGTAACTCACACTACAGTTTAGCAGCCTGAAGGTTCTCCACAAGGGGGAGCTACTAGCGCTAATGTTGCTATCGTGTGTGACAACCGAGTGGAGAAACTTGCAAAAATAACAGTTATGGGAGCAATTAAAGTTATGACAAATAAACAGAAAATGTGCACTAAAAGTGTTGCTGAAAAATTCATTCAGTGTTCAAACTTTTGAATACGACTGTGTACAGTTATCTAACTTACATAGATCAAACATGCTGTGTGCTTGTGAGTCAACAATGGGTTCATCTTAAAGAAGCTGAATTCACTAATTTTGGTGTATTTTATTCAAATGGAACTGATGGGCACATTTGAGTCATGCACATTCAAAGCACCATGGAGGACAGAGCCAATATAATACTTGTGTTCAAGAAACTTTCTGCTATAATAGTCAAGCATACTGTCAAAAAATGTCTGTTCTGTTAACAACACACCAAATCTAGTGTATCTGAGTGCAAATCAATGCGCTTCATAACAGAAATGATGACCTTTAAGTCATATCCAGTTAAACCAACACAAAAAGATTCATGAAAAGTGTTTCCTTCAATTTATTCATAGTGAAAATAACCTGTTTTGAACCTAACATTCAACGCTATGAATTTGAAATCATGTGATTTTCTTTCACACACACACACACACACACACACACACACACAGAGGAAGCATATGAGAACACTTTGTGCATAAACACGTACAGGAACAGACCATACACACCCTCAGACTCACTCACTGAGACATGTACTGTACATTTACACAGATCCATCATATATGAGGAAATTCTCTTCTTGTGTCAGAAGGCTGTTAATGATTTTACCACACCGCTGAGGCCTGACAGGTCAGTCAGCAGGTCAGAAAGAGAGTGCATGTTTGTTTTCATACATTTTCAAGACAAAAAAGTCCTGAAAAAAAAAACAAACTGAAAAACAGGGCTAACCTACAGGACGAACCAAAGAGTGCTTAAAGCTATGGTTGCTTTTATGCAACAGTTGCAGTCAAAAGTAGAGCAAAGAAGCCCTGAATATTGTACCAAATGTACGTTAACATTAGCAATTCCTTCCGCCAAAATTGTATTAGCTTTTTATGTTACAAATAGAGCCATAATGGTGCAATATCAGGTTCATCTTAGCTTGCCAGATTAACCTGAATGTCATTTTGTTTTACTTCAGCCCACCTTATTTGCAGAACTGAACTGTCTATCTGTCCTTTTGCTTAGGGCAGGGGTCGGCAACATGTGGCTCCAGAGCTGCATGCAGCTCTTTTCCTGCCCTGTTGCGGCTCCACAGCAGAATTTTTAGGTAAAAATAAAACAATCCTTTGCAGTAAAATAAAGCTCTGTTGATCCTTCTAACACAGTTTTAACAATAAATGGTCCTAAACGCTGTAGTTAATGTAGCCTATATCTGCTAATTAACCAACCTTTAACTCTGAAGATTGGCGTGCAGACTGTTGGTTAACATAGCAATGCAAATAACAGTCTTGCCTATCTAGTATCTTAACGAAGTGGCGAAAAGAAAGATTTAAGATGAACATCAATGATTTGCAGACGAATGGACATATTTGCATTTGTAAGCACTCCAGCTGGTTTCCTGATATGTTTAATCTGCAACCAGAATCTATCTATTACTAAAAAGTCCCCTTCCTGGGCAAGCACTCAACACTATACCAATAAGAGTCCTTGGGCAAGACTCCTAACACTACCATCAGACACCTTCGCCTACCTGTGTAAAAATGATCAAATTGTAAGTCGCTCTGGATAAGAGTGTCTGGTAAATACCATAAATGTAAATGACTTCAGCCTTGTAAAAAGTTGAACGTTTACAAGAAACTTTTCTAAAACTTTTGCAAAAAGTTTCCTGCCGGAGATATGAGAAAAGTGGCTGTAGCTGAACTAAAGCTTAAAGCAGAGCAATGTAAGTCTGCGGTTTTGTTTATATTATATTATTAGCCTATACTAGCACATTACCACATACTGAAACATATTTACAGCCAAGACAGTAAAATGGGCATAAAATGTTGTGGCTCCCAAGGTAGTTTGA